AGGTTGCTTGAATAACCTTGCTTGACTGTTAAAGCAAAATTCTGGATTTAAGAATGCTATTTGATTAAAACACTAAAGCACTGACAATAATTGTTAAATATTATTACGTTTTTTTTACGTTTTAATTATTACGTATAATTCTGTATTGTGATATAATTCTGTATTGTGCGGGCTTGCAACAATAAATATAAATCTAGTAAATAATAGTAAATTTCATCTCAGAAGTAGAATGTAATCCATATCCGGCTTTAGGATGTTTGTGTCAATTATGTTTACTGCTTCAGTTTGTCCCACACATTGTTTTTTTCATTTTGCCAAACGCCCAGAGCAAAGTCATTCAGCACACATTTCTAAACAAATTCTGAACTAGTTCTTTCAAAGTTTTTAAACATCACCACGGCTTTAATGTTTACATAAATAATCAACAGACAAAGACAGTCATACTGAAAATAATATCAACATTAGAAAGCGTTTCATTTAGCTACGGTTTACATTCAATCATGTAATATTCAACAAATGCAGAGACACGGACCATAACAATAGTTGTAAATAATATATTTTAGCCTAGAAAATATAAATCTTATACAAGAAACAAATTATAGTTGATAATATTCGCATCTTATAACGAAGGTTTATAATTAATTCATTATTTTCAAAGAAGAAAAAAGTTTTCAAGCTGGTAAAAATGGTTTCATTTCAATGTCTAAAGCTGGGGTAAAATTTCTTTGCAATGTCCTTAACTCATTTCAACATTCTACACGCAAACACAATTTTATTTCAATATAAGAAGTTGGAGCAAGATTCCATTTCATGTCCCAAGCTGGAGCAAGGTCCTTGGCTGCAGCAAGACTTCAAGATGTACAAAGCTGCTTAATTCTCATTCCACAATGATAAACTGAAGTCGGAAATCTGCTCAACTTGTTTTGTGCACTCATACATTAATTGTTAAGCTCTAGCAATCAGGTATGTTCATATGTGTAACCATATGATTCCGCTGTGCACTCAGCTGTGTAAACCGTCTATGACATACTGTACACTCGTATGGTTTTTCGCCAGTGTGCCTGCGCATGTGCTGAGCAAGGGCTTGTTTACGCTTGAAAGCTGTTCCGCACGTCTCGCAGGAAAATGGCCTGTCTGGAGCTCGAACCTCTGAAAGTAAAACAGAGATTCATACAATGATTTTTAAAAGGTTATCTAAAGAAATATAATGAGATCTATATAACTAGGGTAGAAATAAATTTCAAAGTAATTTAGTTACCATTTGGATTTTCATTTAGGAAAAACCTACAAACTTATTAATCATACATTTTAAAGAAACGTGTACTATATTGTATTTCTCAATGGAGTTGATATCACAAAATGTATCTCCAGTAACTTAACTCCCCTCCGATAAAAGCTTCGAATGACTATTAAGGAAAAATGACTGTTTTGTACTCAGAAAAAATGTTGGAAGAGTAAGATTTCTTCTGTGTAATTACAATAAATCATAATAATCGATCATAATAAATGATATTAAATAAAACTTGTTTAGAACATACTATCTTCAGTCTATATATCAGTCATTTTATTGACGACGAATCTAAAGTTGCTGTAGAATGGTATCGGGGCCGGGGGGAGGGGTAAGTATTAACCTGTATGAATGACAAAGTGGAATGGAATGGCGAGAAGCGAGTATTTACCACGACAGTGTTCGTTCGCGAGAAAATAACAAATGACATAATTATCTCTGAATATTTAAGGTGTTTCTCACTGTGATAATTTATTCTGTTCTATTTTTTTTTCAATTGACCCGAGTCACGGGGAATCACGACTCACCCCCCCCCCCCACCAAAAAAAATCAAATTTTACACAACGACCTTTAAAAATCTTCCCCTTTTCTTTAGTTATAACGGTGACATCCCTGGTTAGTAGATGTAACCCACTAACAATTATGCACATCATTGCCTTTTAACCCGAACAACAAAACCATTTCTGATTAACTGGTCTAGGTCACATTTTTTCTTTATGTACAACTTTTCAAATTAATGCAGAAACGTTTTACAAATATAAGTTTACAATATTTTGGTGCACATATCAATTTATTTGGTTTCCATACACATCACTTAACATACGTACATAAACATATTAACACAATAAAGAACATCCAAACACACCACTTGCCATTAAATACATCGTTCCATCATCCACAGAACTTAAAATTCATACTCAGTACCTTAAAACATTATCATAGCACCAAAGCACTAAATGACTACACACAGCAGACGACAACCGTAATAACACATTGATGGATCGCATTTTAAATATAACACACCACTTACACATGTGTATATACCTGTAACGATGGAATGTGAAAATGTAACGCATAAATCGTTCAATAGTACTAGTATTCCCGAATATGTGCAATATATGACCGTAACAGACAATGTGGTTATTGGATCTACAGTAAATGAAATTGAAATAAATTAATTTGCGCACACTGCTCTTAACACTTTTCAATCTTCATTAAATATTTGAAAATTGTTTTGTTTTTATTTTCAAACCATTTGTGGAAATGACCTGGCTACAATATGGAAGACGGTTTTGCGTTTCGTCAATATTTATTTATAGAATAACACAAATATAATGTTATTTGAATACCCGAAACATTTACCAAACAACCCGTTTTATATAATTCTGAAATCAGCAGACATGTGATTGGGCCAACTTTTTATGAGGTAACGCAACCCGTTCATGTGATTGAGTCAACTTTTTATGAGGTAACGCCGATTTCGTGAATAATGTACAGAAGGAGCATGTATAATTTTTTATCAAACTTGTCTGAATCAAATTTAATCTGCTTCCTACCGGTGTTATATATGGACAAAAACCGCAAAGGTGTACCTAAAAAGTTTTATATGCGTTTTTGTACTAATACATAAATAATGGCCAAACACAAAACATGTGGTAGCCAAGTTGTAATTCTCACAAATTATCTTTAAATTTTACAAATCTTTTTGAATAGCAAACATTTTCTAGAAATACTTGTAATGTGGATTTTTAGTGCATTGTCTTAGAAGCCGTGTATGCGAATTCATATCATTCAATTTGATATGCTTAAGATATGTTGGTCCGTTTAATTACTTTGTTGCTCGTTTCTGCCATTTTCAGATTCTGCGTTACTTTTGCACAACTCTTGCTTTATACGGGATATACACAATTTAACATCAATAGCAATTAACATAAAGTACTTATTACATAATCAGCTCTCTAACAAGTTTTAATGTCTCAAAAAACTATGTATAAAACTATCCTGTTATTAACTGTTTAAATAAATATATGTACCAAACAACCGCAACAGCAAGGTATATAGCAATTTTTTTCCTGGTACAATTCCTAAACAGAACACAGCATAAAGTACAAACTTTCGTAACACTATCATTAAAAAAGCAAATTAGTTAAATAGAATACTAAACAATTTTTAACAGTATTTAACATCCATCTGAAGCATTAATATTAATCATCAATAATTTGTAGCAGTTTCTACAGTATTAGAGATTCATACACGGGTGAATCCTTACGAAGCACACTCAATCATAAATACACTTCACACTGTCCTAGAATGCACTTGTATAAAACTATTTAACTTAAATTCAAAATAGAATTTAAAACACATTACTGACCATACACATGTAAAACTCTTGAAAGATGCCCAGTTAACACATACTTCATTCATATATAGGTTGTACTAGAAAGTATATTCATCCACAGAGTTGTTTCAGTAAAGCAGTTTCTCTACCTGTAATAGGGTTGGTTAGCGAACAGCATGGATCCTGATCAGACTGCGCGGATGCGAAGGCTGGTCTGGATCCATGCTGGTCGCAAACGCACTATGTTGGTTTTGTCGTGACGCGGCTCAAATAATTAATACTATAAATGACTCATTTAGGATATAACAAAAGACTTTTAGTTTCCAGAACATCGTCGTGTATAAGTATCAATGTTTTACAAATCTAATTTGAAATTAGCATGTGATAGCATATGCGCCCTCTGGTGTGCTTGTTGTGTAAACCTCTTGTCACATTGTGTACAACCATACGGTTTTTCGCCGGTGTGTATACGCATATGTCTCTGCATAATTTGTCGTGTTGCAAAGTCCTTCTGACATATGCTACATGGTACACGTGTCTTTGAACTTCCTGAAATAAGATATAAAAAAGCTAATTAATAAATGAAATAAAATTCATGAAAGTATACACATTACTGAAAGGATAGAGCGTATAAAAGTAATTCAATTTATTTGCTTCTAAGTTAAGTTCCACAAAGATTACCTTTCACAAAAAATGCACCAACCGTAACAAAATACATTTATAAAATGGAAAGGGGCATGGAGGTCTCTTATGAAGTTTAAGGAAGATTTGAATGTCATCTGGTCATAACGTCGATATTTTTTACGAAATATAATATACATCCTTATTAAAAGTAAGTAACACAAGTTTTCACAGAATAAATTTTCTATTCGTATAAATATATCTGGTAAAGTGTTTAGAAATTTTTAAAGTTTTGATGATACTATGAGAAATAGTATCTGTAACACTTCGTAAGAGAAGCTTAGTTTTCCCTTTTTTAATTGCCACCATGTTTTTTATTATAAATAATTAATTGTTACTTTGGGTTCTCTTTAATTTAAATGATATAAACAATGTTAAGGAAGGCACATAGTTGTAAGCTGTAAAAGTTATGTTGTTGTTGTTTTTTTTTTCGGTTTTACGGCGCATCAACACAGTTCAGGTAAGTCATATTGCAATGAAACAGGAAAGCTTAGCTTATTAGCTAACCACTGTGTCATCATTAGGGGTCAAATGGAACAAAGATGTGCACAGACTCGTCGTTTAGTCGATTCTTATGATCACGTGCTGCAATTCTAATACCTCAACCAATAAAGACAATCCTTCAACCACAAGGGGGAGGGGATGGGGGGCAATGAAAGCATTTAGAATAGGAGCCAGTTTTTCAACTATAATTTTTGAAGTTTTCGACAAATTTGAAATATAAACTTTGCGTACAGCACAAATTAAATGAATTAAATGAAAATTTACAACACATTAAAAATAGAAAGAAAATTTGCCAAATTGTATGCAAAGGTGAAAAGAACGTAAACAATGAACAGAATATAAAGTCTTATATAGTAAAATCTTTATTTCCCACTCATACAAACTTGCATTTTTTCAATCATTGAACGTAAAACATGCACAAAACAATAATATTCATTTACAAAATATTTGTGTCTTATTATGGTTTTTAACACAAAACAATACTTAAATGGAAAATTCAAAATATAAATACAACTAGTAAAAATTTAAAAAGATATTCAATTATACACAGAAAAAAATACATCACAAAATAAAACATGCAAAAGTAGTGTAAATATTCAGTAAACAAATAATCAGAAATTTACATACAGGTTTATTTTTCGCTTCATTTAAGTTAAATAAATTCGCGAAAATTCATCCTCGCGTAGAAAATACTTTTATAAAAGTTGAATTAAAAAAAACAGTAACACGATAAGTAAACCCATATTGACTCTGTTTTTAGAGAGTTTTAATCTAAAAAATCATAAATGTCGATCTACTAAACATTCTTAACAGTCTGTTTATGAATAAAATATACATATTCAGAAAAGTCATCGAGTGGCATTTTTGGTGTGGCTATATTCTACCCAAAGGTCATTATTGAAATTACTTTGTCCACTCGATAATAGTACTTGCTAAATCTTTTAATGTCTGTATTCTATACAGGGCATGATTTACACGGCTTTCGTGGATATGCACTAGACAGTACTAAATGCTTAATATCTTAAAACTCTGCATTGTAATTCCACACGAACAGATTTAAATGTATCTTCCTATATATAAGTCTTTGAAATTTCAGAAACTCCCACGGTGGATCCCAGGGATTTAATTAATGTAACATTGCAAACACAAGATGACCCTAAAAGCACTGGTCATTGAAAACTACGTATTTGTGTGGGTTTTTATTTTTAACTTCATTTCTTTAATTCCTAATGAATTAAACTGAAACCATTTTATATAACTTTGTAAGTGGTCTTTTGTGTGTTGTTCTCGACATAATTTATGGAACGAGGGATACAAAAAACATACAACCTGCTATTGCAAAAGTTCACCTCCGATCCAGCGAGCAATACAAAAAAAACAGGGAAAGTATATGTCAATTTCTTCAGATAAACGAGAAAATGTCAGTCTAAAGTAAAGAAATATTAACGCTGAAGTTAACCAATGACAAAGTCAATAAGTAAGAAATCTAATTTCAGTCAATATTACATTAACAAAATATTACAGCAAAAACAAAACAAATTGGAACTCCATGTCATTACAATTTAAAAATAAAAATGTACATACATGTGTATAGATATATAGAAATGATTGAATTTTCAAAACCATTTTAAAGTAAATCGGAAATAATTATGGCCGCACTCTACATGCTCTAATCAATAATAATGTCGCATAGTTGAACAGCATTTTCAATGTCAATAACCCTTCTTATTTTTTACAAATTTAGTTCATATTTAGCATGTGATATCATATGCACTCTTTGTTGGGATTGTTGTGTAAACCTCTTGTCACATTGTGTACAACCATACGGTTTCTCGCCGGTGTGTATACGCATATGTCTCTGCATAACCTGTCGTGTTGCAAAATCCTTCTGACATATGCTGCATGGGTAACGTGTCTTTAGTCCTGAATATATATATAAAGTACCGATAAGATACATTTTACTATGTACGATTGAGTGATCAAAACATGTAAGAAACATCAAAATAGCCCTAGCACCAACTGCTGTAACTTTGTATTTCAGTGAAACGACTTATTTTGAAATTTTTTAAGCATAATTATGGTAGTCGGTCTGGTTTCTGAACAAACATGATTATCTACAAAATATCGAAGAAATACATGTAAATAAATAAAAGAACAAATTTATTCTAAAATATATAAATCATGTTCTGTTACTTTTTTCTTGACTTTTTGTCTTTCAGAGATAGATCTATCGAATTGTGCCAAGTGGTAGTGTTAAGTGGTGGACATTTCTGAATAGTAATTTTGATTAACAATTATCTCGTGGTGTTATATGTTAATTACTATACAGTAACAAGGGATCCAAAATTAGACATAAGACAGGCGCAAAGCTGCCTTCACGCAAAACAACCCGGGCTGGCTCATTATTGTCCCGATTTTACTTTTCTTCATATCATAATAAACAAAGTAGATGTATGTTTTCTGTAGGTTACTCGACAATTTCGGCCTAAATTGTAGTCCTATGTTTCTTTCATTGTTACGGTAATCACAAAAAGCGTGTCTTACCAATAACTAGGAAATGTTTTGGCCTATGATCAATAAGTCAGTGTGGCTTTGACCATTTGCTCAGTTACCTGAAAATTTATAGAAAGCATCTGCAGCGTTGACAAAGGGCAATGTCCAAACACTTCACATCAAATTTAAAGATCGTATGTCAAAGTATTTCTTAGCTATTGGTAGGACAAACTTTCAGTGGACAAATAGGTATATTTTGACCTCAAAATCAATTATCACAGCCATGCAATCTATACAGCAGAGTATACAACAGAGCTTACGACTGTAAGCCAAAAGCGTTCTCAGGTTATTGGTAGAAGCTTTTTGTGGTCAAGGCGGCAGTGACCATTGTAAATATTCTTGTAATAATTTAATTTTTCATCAAGTTCTTTATGTCATTGCATTGATTACTGTACACCAATAACTAGTATTTTTGTAATAATTAGATGGTACAGCAAATTATTCTTGTAATTACTGGATGTTACATCACGTTATTCTTCTAAATGTTAGTGCATTCAGTTATTCTTGTAATTCATGTAATTACCTGACCACAATTATTATTGTTATTACCAGATTATGCAGCCAAACAATTCCTAAATATTGGACTTTGCATCATTATAAAGTTTTCTAATTACTGAATGAAACATCCAGTAATTCTTATATTTCTTGAATCATGCATTCCATTATTCTTGTAACTCGTGAATCATAATCTCGAATATTCTTGTAATTCTTGTATCATGTATTCACTTGTTCTTTAATCATTCAATCAAAACAAGTTTCAAACATTTATGGTCATAAAATGAGTTCCGCAGTTTAACAATGAAGCACTCCTTCGGTCTGCGTAATTAGAGGTATTTTCCGCTAGCAAAGCTCGAATCGCCGTATGAACTTGTTTTTAAGTGCCGTGTGTCTTAAAACAAAACAAAACAAACAAATATTACTTAATTTTATTAGAAAAATTCTACATAGAAAAGCAGAAATTTTGTTTGCATGACATACCAATTTTAACTACGTTAAACACACATAATAGTTATGGTAATAGTTTAAGAATAATAATAAGTCAACCTTTACCAAACAGCTGGAAGTAAGTCCTTTGCAAAGTCCTTAGCCAATGCAGTATTTTTTCATTATATTCCAATTATGCTATTCTTTACTTATTTGAAAACTGGTTCAACCAGCTTATATTTACGTCGGTCCTTGTGCTAAATACATCTTAACATTTCTTCACTTTTAAATATATCCACTGTTACTTTTTCAATAGAAAAATAAGAAAGCTTGTCAAAATTTCACTACTAAATGGTTACGTCCATTTTAATATTTCATGGTGACAAAGAGGTTTGCCATAATTTCACTTTACTAAGTGCTTAATCTACATGTCCAAGTACATTATAGGCCAGGTGGAAGTTCGTCTCTAATATGTATAAGCATATGAGATTTCAGGTGACTTTTCTGGTTGAACCGTTTACTGCAGACATTACACTGAAACGGCTTATCACCAGTATGACTCTGCATGTGCACCTTCAAATTGAAACGCGTTGAAAAATCCTTCCCGCAAATATGGCACGGCACTCGGCCCGGATTAGTACGCTGCAGGACACCGCCTGACACTGAAATGAAAATAAAAATTGTATTAATACTACATTTGTACATGATTTATTGTTTTCAAAAATGGATTATTTAATAGAATGAATAAGATAGGGGCTTCAAAATGAATTCAAAAGTGGTAATATTATAATGTAATTGTAACCATCATTTCAGCTTCGAACTTATTCTTATATTTAAACATAGATGATCTCAGAATGTGTAAATTCAGGCTGTAAGACATAGAAATCAGCATTTTTCTTTTCCTTTTTTTGTTAAAGATAATGTTAAGGAGACAAAATATATGGGGAGGGGGATATTTAATTACCTTTTAAAGATAATGTAAAGGAGACAAAAATAAATGGGAAGGGGGTAATATTTTATTACCTATTAATTTAAAGATAATGTAAAGGAGACAAAAATAAATGGGAAGGGGGTAATATTTTATTACCTATTAAAGATAATGTAAAGGAGACAAAAATATACGGGGAGGGGGATATTTCATTACCTATTAAAGATAATGTAAAGGAGACAAAAATACATGGGAAGTGGGTAATATTTCATTACCTATTAAAGATAATGTAAAGGAAATAAAAATAAAAAACTATGTTAATTCATGGTCATATTTTTATATTACATTCAATATGCAAATTCAGTAAAACTTGCAATAATGACCATGCAAGAATAATTATCTTCAGATCTTAACTCGAGCAGTTTCTTGAACAAATTTTGATAATTATAATTATTTGCAAAATTTGCAAAATTCAGTAAAACTTGCATTATAATGACCATGCAAGAATAATAATCTTAAGAACTCAATCAGTTTCTTGAACAAATTTTGATAATTATAATTGATAAGAATCATACAATTAACAACATGTAAACTCAATATCCATGTAAACTCAAAATTTTAATTCATGTAAAAACAGTTCATTATGGTATGTTCATTGTGAAGTGTTGCATGTTGAATTTTCAATAATTTCAAAGAATATTAATTTCCATGTAAATCTTAGAAAGGTATCTACTGAACATACACCTATAACATACAGCAATGATGAAAATCCATGTAAATCTCCATAATGTAATTTAAAAGGAAACTTTGAGATCTAATGTTCCAATCATTACAACAGTATATCAATTAAAGATAATTAAATTAAATATAATAATTGATATATTACAATCATGAAAATCCATGTAAATCACACAGAGTAATAAGCTTTGTGAGTTACTGTTCCAACCATTGAAAAAGTCATTCTTTATAACTTATGAAAACAAAAATTATTTATATCTGTTTTTTTACATATGGAAAAACATCAAAATTCATGTATATCTTGTAAACAACATAGAACAGACAGCATAATGATCCATATTATTATAATTTAGTTATCTTACATGAAAGATTTTGAACCAGCTTTAGCAATGTTTTGAACAGGTTTTTAGCAATATACATTTCACAGACATATTGCATATCTATGTAAATTTTTCTATCAAATGTTTAAACAGAAATTATAATTAAAATCCAAGTAAATATAAGAATTTTGACAACTATTGTTTAAAAAAGCTTTTTAACTTTAATATGAAATCCATGTAAATTCTGTAACTATAGGACAGCTAATAGCTAATGTGTTAGATATTAATTGGTTGCAATATGACACAAAACTGTGCAATCTTTAAAATTCACAATAAAGATTAAGTTATTTCTATTATATGACATCATGTAAGTCCATGTAAATAGTAAAAGAGTTGACAAACTGAAAAGTTACAATTTCCAGATGGTCATCATTAAAATGTAATAATAATATGTCAGTCTTCTTATAGGAGAATCATTTAGTTAACTTCTGTTTTGTTTATCAAGCAAATCCATGTAAGCCAACACATATTGGTGTATCATGAAAATCCATGTAAATACTTAAAACAACCAACACACTAGAACTTTATGAAAATCCATGTAAATACTTTAAAACAGCCAACACACTGATGTATCATGAAAATCCATCTGTTAACACATAAACAGCTTAAATAATGGTATAGCATGAAAATCCATGTAAATCCATAAACAGCCAACACACTGCTTTATCATGAAAATCCATGTAAATATTTATACACCTAACACATTGGAATATCATGAAAATCCTTGTCAATACTTAAACAGCTAACACACTGGAACATCATGAAAATCCATGTAAATACTTGAACAGATAACATAGTCTAGAATATCAGGAAAATCCATGTAAATACTGTATCATGAAAATCCATGTAAATGGACAACCATGTGAGATTTTAGGTTGCTCTTTGTATGGAAACGTTTAAAGCAAACATTACACTCATATGGTCGTATTCCCTGATGAATTCTCATGTGAACTTCCAGATTAAACTTTTTGGAAAAATCTTTTCCGCAAATATTACACTGAACCCTGCCCTTCTGTCCGGGAAGAAAACCTGAAATAGAAACAATACTAAAAGATTATAAGTTATAATACAAATTTTTAACAGAATAAAAATGGATCAAATATAGCATTTATGACATATAAGACGTTTGTAATCCAATTACAACAAAAGTCTGCAGAGAATCATCTTCAAATGTATTAAAGCTTCTTGAAAAACGTAGCTGCCTCACAGTTTCCTGGAATATCAGGGGAGGTAACAAGAGTCCCATTTTGAGACTAAGAAAAAATAATTGTCTCCCTTTACTCTTAAATACAAAATGTATAACCTTTACTATTTCTTTCATTTCTTACACTATTAGATCTAGATTTGCAACAGAATTCCATTAATACTTAGAAAATTAACTGAAAGATATGCAAACAATAATAAGTCATATAAGGAATAAAGAACTACATTTGTGTAATCCCAATTTGAGTTAACATCATTCTTGAATCAAATGTTTTTCATTTTCGGGTAATTTCTCTCAATTAAAATAAAATATCTGGGAAAATAAACAGAGTGAATAATCTGAAAATTTGCGTAACAGTAATTTGTCCTGACCTTTTTCAAATGGTGAATAAATATCAAAGTCCTGTCATGTTAAAAAAACAAACAGTGGTGTCCCTATAAAATCTTGATGACTCACATGGCACAATTTCTTCATTTGAACAACAATTTTATACATATATAATATAAAATGAGCATGAACAAATTTGCAAATTAATACAGAACAAATCAAATTACATTTCTTTGTTATATATCACAAGCATACAGTGAGTTTGTTGTAAATTTTTTCAGTAGATATCAAAGTATGAAATTTTGTCTTACAGAAATATATTCCAACTTCTAAGAATTGTTAAAGTGACACCAAGATAATTTTAGACCGGCGACGTCTTTTTTTCTAACAGTTTGACCATAGGAAAAAAACAGTATGTAGAAGGCGTCAAACTGTTCACACCAATTAGGCTTACATAAATCCAAAAAAGGAGTGGCTGAACAATAATCTTGATTATTTGTTTCAATCATTTGTTTACACAGAGTGGATCCTAAAATGTGCTTTATCAGCTAAAACAAAAACTTACGGCCAATACAATTTTTTTTTTACATTATATATAACTCAATCATAATACTTCATGTACATAATTCAATCAAGTAAAACAACCAGCAACATTTAGTATTTTTTATTACATTTTCTCTGTCAATGATTTCTACAAAATAGGGCAACTCAAACACCTTCACAAAATTCAAAATCAAAATGACTTCTTTAGCAGTCTATTAAATCAGTTGTATTTTCTGTTGCTTAAAACATTTACATCATACATGTATATGGTAGTCACAAAATAGAGACTTGAAATGATAGATAAAATCTTGCACTTAGCCTGGACAAACAATGTTTCAATAAAGAACCTATAAAAGGAAAAAAAGTAAGTAAAACTTAGAAATGCTGTTCACAAATCAAAACCTTTAAGTTATTTTGATAGTGCTGTTGTTGTTATTTTATCCAGTGTTCACAATTTGCTACAACTTTTCAATTTTATGATTACATTATAGTACAATCCACATCTCTGAAGTTATTTCTCTTTACTTCTCTTACTTATACACAATACTGACCCTATTGCAAAAATATGCTAAATGTACATCCATCTAACAATTATCATTCTACTAATTATTTTAATACTCTATAACTAAAATTGTTTGTTTTTATTCCCTAAAATACACAATGAATCATCAACACCACGTGTCCATTTTTCTATAGTTTATCTCCATAGTGGACAAGCATGTGGGATTTCAGTGAACCTTTCTGGACAAATCGTTTCTCACATATGGTGCACTGAAATGCCTTCTCACCAGTGTGAATTTTTACATGCATCTCCATATTAAACTTCCTTGTGAAAACTTTTCCGCAATACGCACATGGATATCTTGCAGACTCTGTTGTCATACTCTCTGAAAATAAACAAAAACTCACTTAATTATTCATACCAAAATTGTTAATAAACTTGATGTTAAACACAGATTTTATGAACTCTACACCTACCTTTTATAAATTAGTAAACATGAAAATAGATTTTTACAATATTAATAATACAATTAAAATAATTCAAAAATGTAGGTCAATTGCACATGATTGTAGGCCAATAGATGTTACCCGGGCAAAGTAAAGGTGGTTTATTCCAATCTAATCCAGGGGTACAAACTTTTAACTGTTAAAGCTGTTCACAAATGATTAGTCAACACTTTTTAGGTTGTTTTTTCCAACTGTAACTGTAAAAGTTTGTATGTATCCTTAAACAAGCCTGGAAAACCCAAATTATTCTTAACTCAATAGTAAGTCAATTGTTCACAAATGTAGTCAAATTGTACACAAATTGTAATAATTTAATATACCTGTAGTCAATTGTTGAATATTGAAATGTTCATAAATATTGTTCGTAAATATTGATCAACATGAATCAGTTGGACTTAAATGTTCACCTGTAAATACTCTGATTAATACTGTATGGTGTGGTAAATCTATGGTCAAAACAAAAGTAGGCATAAGCATGGTTTAAGACATAATGATTAGGGGCGTCCATGGTTAAAGACATTAACTTCAAACCACTTGCCCCTCACTGCTGTGGGTTCGAATCCTGCCAGTCACTTTGGACTCTTTCATGAGAGGATGTAGCTATTCAGCTAGCATACAGAATGTCGGTGGTTCTAATTACTCGGATACCTTTTTTGCCTGAAGTTCAGCGGCGCACCTAAAGTCTTCTTTCACCAGTAAAAGCTGGAAAGTCACCATATGACCTATAACCATGATGGCATGAATATAAACCCAACCAAAAAAGACAATGATTATCAGCGAACCTGACAGGAAAAGATTGTGCTAGTCACTAGCTACTTTAACACTAGACTGCCAATTTATCATACACTTCAAGACTAAGACACAAAATCATCAACAACAACAAAAATTTAAAATCTCAACTCATTTATATTTTTTTTATTCATTTTAATTTTTATTCAAATCTTAACATTAAATTATGTAAACAAATGGCGTATAAATAAATAAAATAGCAAAAAAACATTAAAAAATATAATAAATCATAACATTAAAAATACATCAATTGACATTTCATAATCTATCTTTGCTCTAAATTTAAATACCTTCCTCAAAGTATCACAAACACTGGCTGTCATCAAGTAGTTTCAAAAAATGCTTTAAACTTTATAATAAATCAATTTTATCAAATGATATGAAAGTAATCAAAATCGATTTTTTTATCATTCAAATGTGTATGCATGTCCTCATATGACTGAACTAAGTCCTTGTGTAAGTCACTTAAAATTACTTCATAATCTTTTCTTGTTAAAAATGGCTTGCTACGAGTTTCTCACTAATGTCTACTTGCAGAATAAACAGATTATTTCCAAGGTCTAGAAAATAAAAATTCATGCACCACAACAGTCCTGTACCTTGTAAATAATTATAAAAGTGGGAAATTTGCATGCACAACCATGTGAGTCTTTAAGTTCCCTTTCCGGTTGAACCGTTTCTGGCAGATTTCACACTTGAACGGTTTCTCACCGGAATGTATTTGCAGATGAACCTCCATGTTAAATTTCCGTGTGAACATTTTCTGACATACAGGACATGGAAATCGCTCCAGGCCATCCGCTACATGAGTCTGCACGTGCACTTCGAGCTTCAACTTGTCATCAATTATTTGCTGACAGACTGGACATGTTAGCATCGCATCTTCATTGTAACCTAAAACAGTGAAAATAGAAAACAACCTGTACATTAATAAAATCATTACTTCCTCATCCTACCTTTAAAATATACATGTACAGCCAAATGAAAATGGTATATAAACCACTATCATAAATTACCGGCCATATTAATTATGCTAAGACATCTTACACTTTGGATTGATTTTAATCTTAAAATGTTAACATGTTATTTCAGACATAATTTGGACGAAAATTTTTACTTCAACTTCACAACATTGTCATGATTGTGTGTCCAATACTTCAATGTACTAAAACTGGTAAATTGGCAGTCTAGGGTTGTATTAAAGCACAAAATGTACCAAGTGACTCTTAATGTAGGCATCTGTTTGGCATGTTTACTTCATTTCCTTTGTTATTTATCATTATCAACTGAAGATGCTTTAATAAAGTGATACATGTTTTGATTAACTGTGTTGCTAACTTAAAAATACTGCATTTAACATTTTTAAACAGATCTAATGTATCGGGGCTTTCTTTTCTATACATAGTGTTGACAAAAATGATACAAAAAACTTTTAAGACAGAAATAATTCTACTATTTTATTTCACAAGTAAAGTAATATATACAAATCATTATACTGATACAAAAACAGACAGATAAGTTTTGGAAAACTGAAATATGGCCTTTATCAAAAAGGATGTTAACTTCTCAAAACAAGATTACCATAAAATTGGATGGAAAATAAAAATGTCGACATATTTCAATTAAGGGACAGTTCTTCACTTTTTTTATCTTTTTTGTTTATTTTTTTGTTAATAAACATCGTCTTCCAATTATGATTTTTATTAAAGTTTTTCAACACTTATAAGCCTGCTGATTCTTGTAACCCACAAGACCTGAGTGCAGACCATTAGATCACTCAATATATCCATGCCATCTGATCTTGGTCTGCACTGTTTGCTATTAATATTCAATCACAACATATTTTAAAATTTTTATTTAAGATAAATGTATTGTTTATTAATGTATTGTTCAATTTAGGCCATTTTGTGAGCTATTTGCTTTTTTTAACGGCTTTTAATTATTCATTAAATACATTCAGATGCACAACCATATGTTTAGTCAAATGTCCTTTCAAACGGAAATGTTTGTGACAAATTTTACATTGATGCGGTTTCTCGCCAGTGTGTATTTTCATGTGTTCACGCATGTTGAATTTTCTGGAGAAGGGTTTTCCACATACTGGGCAAGGATGCTTTTGTACACCGACTTCTTCAGCATCTGAAATAATTACAAATAAAAATTAGTGCTCCCCAATTTTTTTAAGCCAATCACCGACGAGGATTTTTCAAATTTTCAGGTTCCAATCTTAATAGAACAGATTTTATATAAACTGGACATTTTATATTATAAAACGCAAGGTAGCGGAGCACTAAGCCAGTTAGAGTGCATATTGGATGTTCTTCGTAAATAAGAAAGCTACAGTTGCTTCGCAACCCCTCTCCTTTTTAACTTTCTTATTTACGAAGAACACCCATTATGCACTCTAACCTATACATAGTTTTACATCAATCTGATTATTATGTTTTTATGAAAGGTGTCAAAAGAGTTAGATCACCTTTCTAAAAGCGAGTTTTCAATGTCAAAATATACAGGCCTGAAGAATACTTATTCCAACATAAAACATTTTTAATCAGTATTTGTCTGTTTGACAGGCATTGATATTCTTAATTTAGAGTAAATCCAATTTACTTAAATATATAAATAATGAACAATTAAGAAAGTTGACATAACATTTATTTTTCATATAAAAAAGTTACTCAGCATTATTAAATACAACATATTTATTTATACATTTCCATTGTAACTTCATAAGTATTTAACAGTTCATCCGTTTCTTATAAATGATTTGAATGCTAATGCTATTACTTCCAATTAACTGACAGAGGCAGGCCACCAAACTGAACTCTAGCTTAAAGCTGTGACACTATAACTTTAACTCAGGGCCAGGCCAGGCCAAACATTTACTCAGAGCTGGTAAATTGGCATTCTAGGGTTGAATCATTGTTAAGACCATGGTTACCTAGAAAAACCTGTTTAGACCATGGTTGATCATTGTGGACCATGGTTTAATTATTGTGGTCTTGGTCAACCATGGTTCAAGACCATGGTTACCTAGTAGAACCTGGTTTGACCATGTAGAACCAATGGTTGACCATGGATGAACATGGTGAACCATGATCACATTTCGCAAGGGAAGTACAAAGACATCTGTTTGGCATGTTAACATTTCTTTTGTTATTTATCATATCAACTGAAGATGCTTAATAAAGTGAAACATGTTTGGTTTTTCAACTTACGGCATTTATCATTTTAAATCAGGGCACATATTGTTGATAAAAATGATAAAAAAAACTTTTAAGACAGAAATAATTCTACTATTTTATTTCATAAGTAAAGTAATATATACAAATCATTACTGATACAAAAACAGGCAGATAAGTTTTGGAAAACTGAAATAAAATTTTGACCTTTATCAATAGGATATAAGTTCTCAAAACAAAACTACCATAAATTGGATGGAAAATTAAAATGTCTACATCATTTTAATTACGGGATAGTTCTTCAATTTGTTTACCTTTTTTTTATTTTTTGTTTATAAGCATCGTCTTGACCAATTATGATTTTTATTAAAGTATGTCAACACTTAGCCTGCTGGAAGCAACTGATCTACTCAGGACCTGAGTGCAGACCATTAGAATCTCACACAGTACATCCTGATCTTGGTCTGAACTGTTTGCTATTTATTATTCAATCACAACATATTTTGAAGTTTTCATTAAAGATGAATGTATTGTTCAATCTATTGTTCAATTTAGGCCATTTTGTGGTTGTGGTCTGGGTTTTTTAACGGCTTTTAATTATTCATTCATTTAAAAACATTCAGATGCACAACCATATGTTTAGTCAAAATTCCTTTCAAACGAAAATGTTTGTGACAAATTTTACACTGATGCGGTTTCTCGCCAGTGTGTATTTTCATGTGCTCACGCATGTTGAATTTTCTAGAGAAAGGTTTTCCACATACTGGGCAAGGATGCTTTTGTACACCGACTTCTTCAGCATCTGAAATAATTACAAATAAAAGTTTTACATCAATCTGATTATTATGGGTTTTTTTTTAAATTTAGGTGTCAAAAGAGTAAGATCACTTTCTACCTGTACGAAAAATCAGCATGGCTTTTATGAAAAACAGGACCGATTCAGGTCTGTTTTGCACCAGAATTGGCAAAATCAGGGTGAAATAGACATGGACCCTGAATTTTCAAGAAATCTCACATGGGAATTCAAGTTTTTTCTACCCTGACATTGTCTTCATTTTGGTAAAAGTCAGGGTGGAACCAGGAATATTTGCACTTTGAAAATATTTTGACACAGATTTTACTGACTTTGAGAAATATAAGCAAAATCTACCCAGATATTTCAATGTTTCAAAATTTTTATGAACCAGTTTTAATACAATCTTAAAAGTTCTTCATTTCCAGCCTGATTTTTCTTAGTTAATAGAGTTATTAGAAATGAATACTGTATTTTTTTTATTATTATACACTCCTGGTACAGTTTACATTGCTGTTAGATAAAATTGAATTTTCAATTCAGAAGAAAATATATTATAATGTCTATTTCTGGAAAGTTTAAGTTGATTTATGGTAAACTCCATTTAACAAAAATTCTTTTCATTTACTGAATTATTCTTTTTTTATTATTATTTTTTTTGAAATTTATAATGTAGATTATTTAGCTCAACATGATTTATTCTTATCTATAAATTGATAATTTTTTCTTATAATTGATTGTATTTATATTTAATTTATGACAAACAATTTATTATTTAATGCATAAATTGGTCAGCAAATAAGTAATGTTCAAGATTTTTAGTTTGTATCCATAATCTCACAATCTGCACAGAATCTCCTACTCTAAGGTCAGCTTTCAGTTTATATAAACAAATAACCTTCAAGTGGAACTTTTTACAGTACTTCAAAATACTTTATGTTAAACTGGGCTATCTGGCAGGTGAAAGTAGAGAAGTTACCACAGATTGACCAACAGCAGTTTAAAATCCAGAGCAAATATCACACCCTGAAAATTATTTCCAGCATGGTCATTTTCTTTAGAAAGATTGGAGGCTTTAGTTGTGATTTTAATTCAAATAAATCAACATACAATTATAATATTAATACATAAATGAGTTTTGATAATTACATAGAAAATGAGATTTAAGAATTCAATTACCCCAGCTATACAGAATTTTCTTGGGAAATTTATTGTGAAACTTATATATAACATGGAGCATAATAGATGTGTTAAACTCTGTTATTCATTTTGAAAAAATGGAGGGAAATAAGCAGCCAATTGTAACAGATAATAGATGGTGAGTTATAATTGAATTGTGACAGTTCTTATTATTTTCAATTATTCATAAAATTGTGAATTCTGTAAGCTCAGTATTCTGAAACGATTTTAAATTAATCTCCAGGAAACCTGTTTTAAAATATGGAGGGAAAATGAAATCATTCTTTATTTTTCGAAATAAACTATACATTTTGATCATTCCATTTTAGAAAAAAACTGAAGTCTTAAAATGTAATAAAAATTTTGACATGATTGAATATTTGTTTTTTTCTACTTCCAAAATTTAGGTTGAAGCCAAATATTTCAGTAACATGTGACAAGAGGATGAAGAAGAAGAAAATGGTGTAGTTGGGAAAAAAGAATACAATAGAGGAAATATTACTGGTAATTTTTACTTTTTTCATTTTCTATCAAAATTAGTTTCAGTTTTAATTATTAAAAGTATTCATTCCTGCAAATTTTATGGAATTAATGACTTCATGAAGTCAGTACAAATATGTTTATATTATGCTGCAGTGCTTCTTTAAAATAATTTCATCAATCATTAGTTTTGTTCTTTTGAAGTTTTGATTGCAATTAATGAAATATTACATCTTTAAAACTACACTGAATGGACATGTTTCTCTATATCAAGGTGTTACATTTTCTTTTAGATTGATACAGTATATATAAATTGAAAGATTTCTATAGCATATTCCTACACTGCTTTCATATGTTTACAGATTGTGTAGTCCAGATACTGTAGTGTGGAATTATGTAATACAGTGTGCAGCTACCTAGTGGAAATATCAAACAAGAATGACTTTTGAAATGTATTTAGTTGTATGAAAATCAAATACAGATAAGTGAAACAAAAATCTCAATTATTATTTTGTCAAATATCAAAAAGAACAGGAATCTGGGTGGACTTTTATTTTTATTTCAGGGTGGGATTTGCAAAATTTTGGGGCGGGATAATAACAGGAGGAAAAAAGTCTGGCCTGATTTTTTAAACAGAAATCAGGGTGAATTATGGCTCATTTAAATATTTCAAATTAATCCCACCCTGAAATTACTCTTAATTTAAATAGAAGTAAATCTATTTTTAGAAATCTGTGTGAGTGAAAATTCTGCCCTGGATTTCCGTTTCAGGGTGGTATTTTTTCTGGCTCATTTAAATATTTCGTTGAATCCACCCTGAAAAGACTCTTTATTGTATACTAAAAAATCTAAAAATAGATTTCTGTCTTCTCTATAGTCAACTGAATAGCTTAAAAAACCTGGCTGGGAATAAATTTCTGATCCCATGTCAAATCAGGGTGTAGTCAGGGTAGGCATTTTCGTACAGGTAAAAGCGAGTATTTATTCAATATCAATATATACAGGTCTGAAGAATCCCTACAATCAAAACAAAATTTAATAATTTGAGCTGCGCCATGACAAAACCAACATAATGCGTTTGCGACCAGCATGGAACCAGACCAGCCTGCGCATCCGCGCAGTCTGATCAGGATCCATGCTGTTCGACTTCAAACCTTATTGGAGTAAGACAAACTGATAGCGAACAGGATGGATCCTGATCATTATACTGTGCGGATGCGCAGGCTGGTCTGGATCCATGCTGGTCGCAAACCCACTATGTTGGTTTTGTCATGGCGCTGCTCAAATATAATTTTAAAAGATTCGGACATTTTTCTGACAAATTTAATAATTTGAGCTGCGCCATGACAAAACCAACATAATGCGTTTGCGACCAGCATGGAACCAGACCAGCCTGCGCATCCGCGCAGTCTGATCAGGATCCATGCTGTTCGACTTCAAACCTTATTGGAGTAAGACAAACTGATAGCGAACAGGATGGATCCTGATCATTATACTGCGCGGATGCGCAGGCTGGTCTGGAACCATGCTGGTCGCAAACCCGTTATGTTGGTTTTGTCATGGCACGGCTCAAATATAATTTTAAAAGATTCGGACATTTTTCTGACAAACGCAGAAAACGTCTGTACAGCTTCCGCTTTTATTCACTTTAGAGTACAATGAAACCAACAAACTTGTTTGTGACACATCATTCTTTTGAAACTGTCCTTTAAAAAGAAATGACCAGACAGCTTCTTTCATACTGCATTAAATCTTGTATCGTGGCTCTCTTTTCTATACATATTGTTGATAAAAATAATAAAAAAAACCTTTAAGACAGAAATATTCTACTATTTTATTTCACAAGTAAAGTAATATATACAAATCATTACTGATACAAAAACAGTCAGATAAGTTTTGGAAAAATGAAATAATATTATGACCTTTATCAATAGGATATAAGTTCTCAAAACAAAACTACCGTAAAATTTGATGGAAAATTAAAATGTTGACATATTTTAATTACGGGATAGTTCTTCAATTAAATGTTTACCTTTTTATTTGTTTGGGTCGTCAGACCAAACAAATAATGGTAGCGAAATTTCAGAGCCTAATGCTGTTAATTGCAAATGCCTAAAGAAGGCCACTTTTTTAAAGCGGTTACTTCCCTTTATATGTACACTAACGCCAAAAAAATTAAGGGGAGATCAATGCGTAAAGATTGTCAAATGACAGGCGCATTAATTTTCAAGCAAAGTAGTTCCCGAATGGTCGAAGATTTCTAATATTGTTTTATTCTTTATAGATATGAACATGCTTACAGTAAGCTCCATGATTATTTACATCTGTGTTTAGCATCGAAATAATAAGTTACAAACCCTAATTTAGAATAATATGGTTTTCTTCAGGCCGTTCAATGTCTTGTTCAATTTAGGCCATTTTGTGTTCTGTTTGCTTTTTTTAACGGCTTTTAATTATTCATTCATTTAATACATTCAGATGCACCACCATATGTTTAGTCAAATTTCCTTTCAAAAGGAAATGTTTGTGACAAATTTGACACTGATGCGGTTTCTCGCCAGTGTGTATTTTCATGTGTTCACGCATGTTGAATTTTCTAGAGAAAGGTTTTCCACACATTGGGCAAGGATGCTTTTGTACACCGACTTCTTCAGCATCTGAAAGATTTACAAATAAAAAATAGTTTTACATCAATCTGATAATTATGTTTTTTTTAAAGGTGTCAAAAGAACCCAGTTCTATATTATCAACTTCTATACATGTATATACAAGCCTGAAAACTCTTTTCTAAATTTTTTTACCATTTTTTGAAAGATTATGTCATTTTCTGACAAACACAACAAAAAGAGCTTGTACATCTTTCAATTATCTATGGTAATTTTAGAGTACAAACAAACTTGTGACAATGGTATATACATGTAGAACCAAATTAAATATCACTAAGAGCAGGTGTGAAATCGGACCATTCTACTGTCAGACTGTTGATTAAAATTTAGACTTTAAATTGAAAATTCCAAATTCAAACAAAGAAAAGTTTAGAGGACAATTGCAAATTGTGTTTGTTTTGTTGAATTTAAGTAAAACCAACACTGTTTATGTCAAACAGCAACTTTCCAGCTTTACTGGTGGAGGAAGACCTCAGGTGTGCCCAACTTGTTTAATTAAGCACAATATTCTAAAATTAGAAACCCTGGAAATGACCTAGCTTCTTTCTGGCACACAGAATTCAGTCTTAGGAAGTGAATTTATGCTCACATATAATTTATTATTCTTATGTGTTTCATTAACCTACATCAATATTGTGCAAAAACACTAAAAAAATTCAAGACATTATTTTAAATGATCCTGCAAAAAAAACAAAAATACTTACTACAACTTAATTTTTTAACCAGAATTTGTCTGTTTGATAAGCATTGATATTCTTAATTTACCAACTTTCCTTTGTGCATAATTCGACACATAATTTAATACATAAATAATGAACAACAAAGTTGACATAACATTTATTTTTTATATACATTGTCTATAAAAAAAGTGATTTAGCATGATTAAATTAAATTGCATATTACTTATCAATACAACAGATGTCGTTACTTATACAGTTCCATTGTGATAACTTCCTAAGCATTTTACAGTTTACTTGTTTCTTATAAAAATTGTAACCTCAACTCTGGGCCAGGCCAGTATAAACATTAACTTAGGGCCAGGTCAAACTTTAACTCAGAGCTGGGCCACTCTATCTTTAACTCACAACTTGTAAATCTTAACTTTCACTCCTGAGAGTGTGCATGGCAAGAGTAACTTCAACTCAAAACCGTCCTGTGTGACTTTAACTCAGACCTAGGCAAGTATAAATGCAACGTAGAGCTTAAATCCAGTATAACTTTAACTCAGAGTCATCCTTGTATAAACCAACCTTAACTTTAGAGTAATCTCAGTATAACAAACTCAAAGCAAGGCAAGTAAAACCTGAATTCAAAGCAAGGCAAGTAAAACCTTAATTCAAAGCAAGGCAAGTAAAACCTTAATTCAAAGCAAGGCAAGTAAAACCTTAATTCAAAGACAGGCAAGTAAAACCTTAATTCAAAGACAGCCAAGTAAAACCTTAATTCAAAGACAGGCAAGTAAAACCTTAATTCAAAGACAGGCAAGTAAAACCTTAATTCAAAGACAGGCAAGTAAAACCTTAATTCAAAGACAGCCAAGTAAAACCTTAATTCAAAGACAGCCAAGTAAAACCTTAATTCAAAGACAGCCAAGTAAAACCTTAATTCAAAGCAAGGCAAGTAAAACCTTAATTCAAAGACACCTGCAAGTATAAATTTGGCTCAAATGTATAAATTCAATCCAGAGTCAGGTCAGTATAACTTCCACTTAGAGTGATCCCTGTGTAATTAAATCAGAGCAAGGCAAGTATAATTTTAATTCAGAGCCCAGGCCAGTTTATTATATTGAAATCGTGCCATTTACAAAAAACCCAAAATAATGGGGTTTTCCCACTAGCATGGGTCCAGACCAGCCCCGCGCATCCCCGCCCGTCTGATTTAGGATCCATTTCTGTTGGTTACCCCTTTTTTACAAATAGGGGTTGGTAAACCCAAAAAGCATGCCTGATAAAACCCGGGGAAAGCGAAAGGGGGTCTGGTCCAGCTGGTCCAAAAACCCATGTTGTTTTGTCTGGCGGCTCATTTTTTTTTAATTTAAGTGCCACCCCCTTTCAAAGCTTTATTTTTGGTTTCCCCGTCTTTTTTAAAATCTAAAATTGGGTGGCTGAAAGTTAAAAATTTTATCATCAGAAACTGTTAACCTTTGATGGGAATTAAACAATTCAAAAAAATAAAACAAATCTTTTGGGGTAAATTTTTAATGATTTTGGCCTGGGTTAAAAGTTTTAATTTTTAAAATCTAAAAAAATATTGAAGATCCACTTGCAATGTCCCCAAAACTTTTAACCCCATTGTTTTTCATGTACATTAAAACATCAAACAATTTTTAATTTTCTCCTAAAAGGAAAAAATTTTTTTAAAAGAGCTCCCAAAACCAAAAAAAAATCCCTTAATTTTTTACACAACCCAAAATGTAAAAAAAATCTAAAGGGTTAAATGTTGTAAATTTTTTACCACAGGGGTTTAAAAAGGGTTTCCCCTGAAAAGTCTTTAAAAATTTTTTTTTACAGAAATTTTTGTTCAAACTAATTTTAAGAATTTCAAAAAAACAAATTTTAAAACCAAACCCATCTGAGTAAAGTTCATATGTTTCACTAAATGTCGTTTAAAATTATTCCTCAATGCGAAAGCTTTCCCGCAAATGTCACATTTGAACGGCTTCTCTCCAGTGTGCGTGACCTTGTGTTGATTGAGCCCTTGTTTGTGCCGGAACTTTTTTCCGCAAACTTCACAAGCATGCTGGTAAAACTGTTCATTCTCCTTCCTGTGCATACCCCATAGTTGACCATCTGGGCTGTGTTCGCCTGGAAGTGAAAAATATAAAAAATGTAAGTTCACTTGAATGTACCGACTTTGACTAAAACATAACGCTAGAAACATTCTGTAATAATAAATTATCTTAAAACAAAGTATTAGTTCTGTATATTGTCTTGAAGTTAAGGTTTATTTGAGAATGATTAAATTTCCTTTTATCTGCCAACAATTTCTTCAAAATGGACGTCCTACTTTCTTAGGAAAATTATTCCTCTTACATAATAAGATATAATGTACTGTATAGTATTGCTCATTTTGTGTACCTTAGAAACACTTGAATCTACAGGAATAACAAGAGCTGTCCATAAGACAGCGTGCTTGACAATTCTTTGTTCTTGACTGTAAGAAAATGGGCGTAACTCTATAAATAATTAAATATGTAACTCATAGCTATGTGGTCAGTGCTCATCATGTAAGATCATCACAGAGAAGAAGTGTGTGAAGTTTCAACCCATCCATTCTGCAGTTTTGGAGATACCAACTTGCAAGGAAAAACTTAGTAATTTTAGTATGACTGCAATGTACAATAGATTCAAATGGTCAAGCTGAAATTCTAGATTGATTACCCTTCATCTATTAATAATATTAAAGCCTTACTTTATTTGTATACTTTGAATTTATAATCATTTCAATTTTAGAGGGATTTACATATAAATACACTACATTGAGCAATCATCCCAATACAGTCTTGTAATATAGCAGGTATGTCATATGCAAATCTTTTCTTAACCATATTGTGATAGTTTGTTTAGATACACTGTCAAGGTAAAGGTCATATAGAGACTTTCAAGCTTAATACTTGAACAGAAAGACCTCAGGTGTGCCCCTACAGGCATTATTTCAGGCACAAGTGGGCTTTCCCAGAGTATAACCACAGACATTCCTTAATCTAGGTGGATAGCTTCATCACATGACAGGATTTGAACTGACAATGGTGAAGGGCAAGTAATTTGAAATCAATGACCTTAACCACTCTGAGCTCAGGATGGCCCAAATCCTATTGTAAACTGAGCATTAAACCTCTTGAGGTTCACAATTTAATTCAATATTGGTAATTTATATCAGTAATTCACAAAGAAACTATACTCATTTTTACATTTTATTTAAGTAACATTCAACCATTTATTGTATTAACATAATAATATACAAAGGTGATATGGTATAATTTTTATTTACAATTAACTAGCAAAGATAACTTAAATTTTCCCATATAAAAAGTAAAGAATCAACAAAAGTTTTCACACTTATGACAGGGCCAGTCCTATAGATGAGTAAATACTAAAAATATCAAATTAGCACATGTAATTCAGTAAGAAAATGACAGCTAATAAATAAAGTATTATTAATGTCTGTGTCTTTAAAAATTAACAAAGAACTAAGAATTATCGCTAAATGCCAACCCTATAACCCCACAAATGTCCTTGACACGTGATTACCTGCAGGATACAGGTTAATTCAGGTTGAATTATTTTAAAAACCAATACAATAAAGTTAAATAAAGACAAATTACAGATTTAACCTACTTAACGATGATGATATATGAAAGGTTAGACTTCAAATTTATTGAGTGTTTGTATAAACTTATGCATGTTTGACACACAGAAATATCCATCTTGTAAAAAGAATGATGAGGTCACATCAAAACATGAAAAACTTGAATAGTGTTCATTTCATAGGAAATTAAAAATTGCAATCAGATTAAAATCAGCTTATAAATTAACAATATGCTTTTGGATTTGACAGGTCACCTTCTAAGTAACCTTTCAATCAGCCAATTTATAATAAAACTATAGCTTATCATATTTTTTTAAGTGAATTATTTCCCATATTTTTAAGGGTGGGAAACCAAAAACAGCCTTCAGGAGTGATTTTCACAATGGTGAATAAAAATTACAATGGCCTGTAAATAACAATGAATGAATGTAGATATAGCAATAAAATAGTAAAGTCAACTTACAAAGCCAGGGGTAGAATTTATTCAGAAAGTACACCTGACATACATTTCTATTGTGCATTGTATAATCAATGTTTTAGCATTTCTTACGTCCAAATGTCTCTTTGTTATGGCCAATTAAAGTGGTTTGCTTTAAGAAAGTTTTTTTTGAAAATCCATAATAAACAAAAGGCAAATCAGAGTTGGTGACTCTCAGATCTGTATGTTTAACAAAAGTTCTGAACTTATTAACTACAAAATATTGTCATTTTTTTTTTTATTACATTATGATGGAAAAGATAACTGATATTACATAATGGTTGACTTTTATTACTTAGGCATCAATTGTTACTAGTAACTGATAATTATATTATACAACATAATATAACAGTATACAGGCTGGCCTTTCAGTTCAAGCAGGTAAAAGATCTCACATTTCAGCAGATATGATAGCACACAGACTTTTCTTTCCGAGATTGTAACTTTTAACATTTTTTCTCCTCATGTCTTAAATAACAATTTAGACATTCATATCTCTTTTTTAACTTCCCTTGCTAATTCAATGATGCATTCTCAAGACAATGATTCATTTTACTTCCTTTGTTTTCTCAAGACAATCTTTCATTTTACTTCCTTTGTTTTCTCAAGACAATCTTTCATTTTACTTCCTTTGTTTTCTCAAGACAATCTTTCATTTTACTTCCTTTGTTTTCTCAAGACAATCTTTCATTTTACTTACTTTGTTTTCTCAAGACAATCTTTCATTTTACTTCCTTTGTTTTCTCAAGACAATGTTTCATTTTACTTCCTTTGTTTTCTCAAGACAATGTTTCATTTTACTTCCTTTGTTTTCTAAAGACAATGTTTCATTTTACTTCCTTTGTTTTCTCAAGACAATAATAAAATATATTGATTCATTTTACTTCCTTTGTTTTCTCAAGACAATGTTTCATTTTACTTCCTTTGTTTTCTCAAGGCAATGTTTCATTTTACTTCCTTTGTTTTCTAAAGACAATGTTTTGTTTTCTAAAGACAATGTTTCATTTTCCTGATTCACTTTCCATACTTTCCTACATATCTCCCTTGATTTTTCAAGACAATGTTGCATTTTCCTGTTTCCCACATACTTCCCTTAATTTCTCAAGATGAAGTTGCAATTTTCTGTTTCGATATATAATGAATTATCATATGCTTTTTCAAATTTCCTTTCAAACTAAAAAATTTTCCGCACACTTTGCATTTCCAGGGTCTAAATCCTGCGTGTGTTTTCATGTGTTCTCTTAGACGACATGGATGTTTGAACGACTTCCCGCATAAGAGGCAAGAATTGTCTGTTATATTCATAGCCATGGAGAGGTCTGGAGCGCCAGAAGTATTTGGTGAATATTGAACCTGTCCAAATGGATCACCATCTGAAATATTGAAATGACAAAGTTTTAAGCATCTGAACAATTTTATTTAATCCTTCAAGGTCCTGGAATACAGTTTCAAGTAATATCTTTTGAGTGCCCATACAGCATCACTTTATTTCTTCAATGCTAAATACAGTCTTATACACCATTCTAAGTCCAATACAGCTTTAAGTTAAATACATAGGCCCAATACAGATTTAATTTGGTCGATTAAAGCTAAATATTAATTTAAATTCTTCAAGGCAAAATACAGCTTTTAAATCTTCAAAGCTTAATTAAGGAAAATCTATCTGTTACAGATTAAGCTTAAAGGCTCAATATTGAGCTTTAAATTAAATCCTTAAAGGCCCAAAATGAATATAGATTTAAGTTAACCGTCACTACCACATAATTATTAGGAAATGAAATACAGTTTTCATTATCCTTAATTATAAGACTTTGTACTTGTTGTTGGAAGCTGATGTACAAAAGATGTGGAATAATTATGTAATACTTTTTACTTTTTTTCCGGGTTCTCATGACCTCCCTTTTTGATCTCTCTTAATTGTCAATTACATTTTTTCACCATTACATATATGTATATATATTTGTACTTTACTATAACCTTGTAAAATCTTTATTAAAATGTTGACAAACTGACACTATAATATGTTTTTGCATATTTTGAGATTTATTTGATTAAATTGCGTGGATTGAAAATGCACTTTGCATTATGTATAAATCACTTTCTTTGTTCATTCGAAAATTTAAAACCTTTTCAAAATTTCCATGAAAATAAGCAGGAATCTGAAGGCATTTGCTTTAAACATATTATATAAGATCCAGAAAATGGTGGCCAGGGGAGTTAATAACTGCTTGATTTTTAAAATGTTGGCCAGGGGAGATAATAACTGCTTGATTTTTAAAATGATGGCTAGGGGAGATAATAATTGCTATGTGAAATGAATCCAATACACTTTTGTGGAGCACTTAAAATTGCAACTTCTTATCAAACATTATAAAGTTTTTTGGTATTTTTTTTTTTTTAATTCAAATTAATATAACACAAACATGACAAGTGAATCCTGTTGATACTCGATATAAAAGCTATCAGTAAGTTTTTAAAAAAAAATAACTAGATTTATAGATGAAACCTGATGTATTTTAAAAGAAAATATCACAATACAATTATTTTTTTTTTTTTGTCGTTTCACATAAAAATCAGAAATAGTCACATTATATAACAAAACTAGTAAAAATACATACATATATATAGCCCTAAAGCAGCTCACTTAAAACTGTAAAAGAGTGATCAAATACTTCAAGCCAAAAGTTTCAAATCACTCAGTGCAACATTGCTGGAGTAATCAATCACTCTGTGCAACCATCAATATTACTGTTAGTATTTGGCTAAAAACCACTCTGTGCAACCATCAATATTACTTTCGAAATCACTCTGTATAACTGTAAATGTTAATGTCAGTCTAAGACTAAAAACAAGAGCTGTCAGAAGGACAGCGCGCTCGACTTTTTTAGTGCTTGCCTATAAAACAAAACTTTGACAGTTAAGGGCACACAAGACTTTAACTAGGAATTTCTAAGTACAAATCAAGAAACATTTTCACAGAGTTATCTTCTCTTGCTTACAGATAGGTCTCATGATGGCACATAAGAACTCCAACTTCCAAAGTAATATCTCAAATGGTTAAGTCAACAAGTGGACAAGAATGAAAATCTTAACTGAGTTTCTAAGTCAAAAAGGGCCATAATTCAAATAAAATCCTTAACAGAATTACCTTCTCCTGCCCATGTTTTGGGACCATGATGGTAAACAAGTATTCCAACTTTCAAATTAATATCTCAAACAGTTCAGTCAAAAAGTGGACTGGTACTAAAAACTTAACCAAGATTCTAAGTCGATAAAAGGCCTTAATTTTTAAAACAAATCCTTGACAGAGTTACCTTCTCTTGCGTACAGATGGGGGTAATGATGTGAAATAGCATTAAAAGTTTCAAAGCAATATCTCAAAGGGTTAAGGCAATTAGTGGATTTTACCCATATTCAATGTATTTTCTAAGTCAAAAAGGGGCATAATTCTGTCAAAAACCTTGACAGAGTTATGTCCTCTTGTCTGTTGATGAAGGTCGTGATGGTAAACAAGTATGGTCAGTTTCAAAGCAATACCTCCAATGGTTTTGAAATAAAGTGAGGTGGTACAAAAAACTTAACCAAGCTCAATACACTTTCTAAGTCAAAAAAGGGCCATAATTCTGTCAAAAACCTTGACAGAGTTATGTACTCTTGTCTGTAGATGGAGGTTATGATGGTGAACAAGTATGGTAAGTTTCAAAGCCATACTTGTAATACTTCTGAAATAAAGTGGGGTGGTACGAAAAACTTAACCAAGGTGTGACGCCAACGCTAACGCCGACGCCGACGCCGACGCCGACGCCGACGCCGGGGCGAGTAGGATAGCTCCCCTTTTCATAGAAAAGTCGAGCTAAAAATCACTCAATTCAACCATGCATGTTATTCAACTGTAGAAATCACTCAATGCAATGTTACTCTCTGTATTTGGCTGGAGAAATCAGTATGCGCAACCATCAATGTTTGCAACCATCAATGCTTATATCAGTCTTTAACCGCAGAAATCACTCTGTGCAGCCATCAAAGTTATTAAAAGTATTTGACTGAAGAGATCACTCTCTCGCAGCAACAGTCAAAGTTAGTGTCATATTTGACTTGAAAAATCACTCTGAGCAACCGTCAAAGTTAGTGTCAGTATTTGACTTGAAAAATCACTCTGAGCAACCGTCAATGTTACTGTCAGTATTAGGCTGTACAACACTATCAGATGTATCCACATTATAATGTGTAATCATATGTCTGCGTAAGTTTCCTTTAAGCTTAAAACCCTTGCCACAAAACTTGCACTCGAAAGGTTTGGCCTCAATGTGGATAACTTTATGTTGCCAGAGTCCTGAGTTGGTTTTGAATCTTTTCCCACATACTGGACACGGATATCTGAATTGTTCAGGGTCGTCATTTCTTTCAAACATACCAATAGTACATGCTAAATTTGAATTTCCTTGGAATATGCCATCATCTGCAAATATCACAAAAACATTTTTTTTAAATAATTATTTAAAGTTGAACTTGACTAAACTATCAAAAATTATATTTATGGAGTTACAAATACCAATACTAATAACACTATAATTTTCGTAAAAATTAATAAAATAAGAGCTATCTGTAATTATGTAACAGTGCACTCGACTTGAAAGTAAGAAAACGGGCAAAACATAAAACATATCAAGTACTTCAAAGTTATGAGACAACCCATGTTCCTATGTAGCGCATGTCCCCCGGCTAATGAACCAAGGCATTTTAAAACAGAAAACAACAATTTTCATTTAGCTTCAACATAATTTATAATACACATCAGTAAAATCTCAAATCAATATTCAGAATATCTTTATTATGTACATATAGTAAATATTCAGTTTACATTTCTGGGAAACAATACTTAATGCCTAACGATAAAATTGATTATCAATGATTTTAAAAGTTCATTGTTTACCCTACTGAAACTGAAAGTAACTGGCCTTTGCCACCAGTAAAGTGCCTGGCCAGTCTGCATGACCAGGTTCTATACTGTTGGTTGATTAACTGTATAATTTTCATCTTGATATACCCAGAATTGATAAAGGACAATTCAAAACATGAAAGCTGAACAAGTCTATTTCTGAATATCAGCAGGATAAGCATACATGTGAACTCTCCCACTTTTAGCGGGAGACTCCCACTTTCTGCAGCCATATTTTCAAAGATTTTTCTTAAAATAAGGGGTATTTTCACAAATCTCCCTATTTTTGATCCTTTGTTTATTGCAATTGCTAAAATCTCCCTCTTTTTGACGAAAAATCTCCCACTTCAACATCAAAAAAAGTCATGTATGGATTAGGGATCATAGGATAAATCATAATTTGTATCAATAACTTCTCAATCTCCATGTTATATATTAATAAGGCACTTGTTGCACAATATTAAAACAGCCCTTTTTATCATGAAGCAATATCACTTATAGCAACAGAAAATTAATGCTGACAGGGTGAGACTTTCCAAAATAGCAGCTCATATCATTTCTAATGGCAAGTTACGCCTGGCCATAAATTTCGAAAGATTTCCTTCCCAAGTCCAGCTTTTTCCTCAGAATTTACAAACATACAGCCATGACTAAACTTCTTTCAACAGAAAAACTTTGACAGTAGACCCTGTATCATTTTTGATTATCATGCTAGATTGTGTTTTTTTTTAAGTTCTTTAAATAATTCACCATTTTCCTCAGCAATGCAAATTTGGGTTTATCTTTTTCATCTGCAAATACATTTGCAGTCTTCCAATACCTGATCCCTAGTCATAATGCCTGACCATATGTTTAGTTAAGTTTCCTTTCAGACTAAAACTTTTTCCACAGAATTTACAAATATGCTGTTTCACACTGGAGTGGGTAAACTTGTGCTGCCATAGTCCAGTACTTGATCTAAACCGCTTCCCACATATTTTACAATCATACCGAAACATTGCTGGGTCTCGATCGAGACTGGACACGAGATATTCATCACCTGAGAAATATAAAAGTATGAAATTCAGAGTTTAAAGTATTTTGAGTAGTTCCCTAACAAAAATTCTAAATGGCGGTTTTGAGACAATGCCTTTTAAAAGCTAAATACTCTATTGTAAGTTGTTTCTTGTCTATCGGACAGGGACAGGGGGTGGGGTGGGGGTGTAGCTGCTCTATGTAAAAATTATACACTCTCTATAAAGTTAACTTTTTCAACAGGATCTTAGCACCTTTTCAAGAAAATCTTCAGACAGATTGATGACCTAACTTATTATTGCATGTATTCCAATTATGATAAATTAAATAAATAAACAAAAATGTATATGTACACTGTTAGTTTCCTTTTTCATTAAATATCTATATAGGTCTAAGGACCTCTACAATTACAAACTTTAATTTCATAGATGATGTAACCTTCATCATTAATTTCAAAACATCAGAGAACCAATCATGTCACTGATTTTATCTTAAAAGTATTCATAAAAATATTTTTGTCAGTAAAACAGGGCTATTCTCAGTGCGACTCGGATAATGTAAGAATGAGTAAAGAGAAAGATTTCATTACTTAATATGATAAATTATGAGTTTTGGATCAGTGTTAAGCCAACAATGACACTGACCTTGAGACAAGTATCATTAAGTTGAGCTAATAAGCCAAAAGTAACAGTATTATTGAATTTTTTTTTCAAATTCATATTTAATTCCATATTTAATTACATTTTCACACTTTAAAACCATACAACTTTATTCTTTTCAAGATTTAATACTTCATTTTCATGAATCAATGACTGGTTCTCATAAACTATTTATAAATGATAGAAGTCACCCATCAATAAAACATTTATTTTCACATTTTTTTTCTCCTTCTTTTGCCTTTTTCACATCACAAATCCATTGGAAAAAAAACAGCCACTATCCTCCAGGAGCTATGTTAATTAAATTACCATTTTCATACTATTTCCACATGTAAAATATTTACACATCGGAAAATTCGAAATATTCGTAAATCGTTTCCGTTGTCTCTACAAAATTACAACAATATCAGAGTGTCATTCCATTTTTAATCTTCTAAATCAATCACTCATTGTTTATAGAACAAATTACTTGTTGACACGGGAGATAAATGTGTTATCATATGTTTAGTTAGATTTCCTTTTAAATTAAAGCACTTCCCGCATGTTTTACACTCGTACGGTTTCTGGCCAGTGTGTACGACTTTATGCTGCCAAAGACCTTTGTAGTTCTTAAACTGTTTGCCACAAACTTGACATGTGTGCTTAGGGTTTGCCATTCCACCATAAGTTGTAAGTAAAGACTGAAATTCGTCATCTGAAACAAGCAGAAATAATATTTTTTTTAATACTATTAAACACACATACAGTCTAACCTGTCTAAAGTGGTCAGCAAGGAGACGGAACTAAAATGGTGGCTATTGACATATGGCCATTAAATACAGGTTGGCATGTATTACACATATATATATACAACATATAAATTGATAAAATACCACTATAAACTATCTATTGATATATTTATTTTCATACTTCATGATATACATATATATATTTGTACAAATATGTTTGATACAATAGTAAATGTATAAGTTAATAAATTAGTACATAAATCAAATATCTGTTTGTAAAAAACAAGTTTTAATAAAGTAAGTTATTTTCCTTGAATTGACATTGCTCGAGAGTTATTTTCCTTGAATTGACATTGCTCGAGAGTTATTTTCCTTGAATTGACATTGCTCGAGAGTTATTTTCCTTGAATTGACATTGCTCGAGAGAGTTATTTTCCTTGAATTGAAATTGCTCGAGAGTACGGAGTACAAGATTATATAAGAATTTCTTGTTACATGGTTTAAAAAGACTAGACTTAAGACTTCATCATAGCATGTAAGATTAAAGGCATATTATTAATATATGAGCCAACCATGCTTTGAATTTTCAATTACCCATGTACATTGTTGAAATCAGATACAATAATACCAGAATAATTAAGTCAGCAGTACAATCTTATCTATGGAGATTATTCATCATAAAGTGGTTGAGAAAATAAGAATAAAAGATTCCGTAATAAAATAATACACATTTAAAAATGAATAAAAATCCACCATTAATATTATTTAATCAGACAGATAACAATTCCTTTAGTCTGGTACTCTCATTACATGTATTTAAAATACATGTAATATATACATATCACGAGCTAAATTACAAATCAAGAATAAATCAACAATCATACAGAAGTCAGAGTTGAATGTCACTTAGAAAAAAAAACATTCTTTTATATAGTGGGTTTTAAGTCTCACTGACAAAAACAGTAATGGTCTGTAGAGGTTGAAGCCCTCAGGGGCCCCTCATGCATTTCTTTTTCTACTTAACACTTGCAATAAATATTATTTAGAAAATATAAATTAGATTAATTCTACCACCACTGAATCTTGCTAAGAAATCTTCATGATAATTCAACGATAATTTTCATCATTTTTATACAAGATTCTTTTACAAGGACATCCTTGACCCTAGCCCTGCTAAATTTCTTAAATTGACTTGTCCAGCTTTAATTTTCAGAATTGTTCATTATCTATTTTGGGGATATTAAAATGAAACTTGAAAAATTATAAGTTTGGTCAACCAATTTAAGAGAGCCTGAACTGGTCTATACTGGTGGCAAAGGCCAATATACCATTGCAATCAAAGCATATAGTATTATGCTGAGTGTAAACATTAGTCACTGACATACCTTTGAATTTGTCATCATAAAAAGCACACAAGTTTTTACCACAGTTTAATATAAAGCACAGATGATTTTTACCACATTTTTCAATTTAAAAATTTATGTAAATAAAACTAAAGATTTAAAATACTTAGGTTAACACACCATGAACTTTTGTAGGACATTGGAAAAAGAAAGATATTGTTTATAACTTTCATGAATGAAGAGAAATTAACCTCTTTCACCATTCAAACAATAACATGACAGTTATGAAATCATGAAATTTCACTCAATCGTAACGTACTGTATTATACTGTTTTCTTAGGAGTTTTCTTAATTGGGAGTTTTCTTAACACCATGTCCACAAAAGTACAATTTTTTTTGACAATTGTAGGACCATGTAGGCAATCTCTAGAAGCTATAATGCACAGCCATATGTTTCTTTAAGTTTCCTTTCAGGTTGAATGATTTCCCGCACATTTCGCACGAGAACGGCTTTTCACCAGTGTGTATGACCATGTGCTGTTTCAGATTCCCGGCTTGACTAAATATCTTGCCACATACTGTACATGTATGGGAACCATCCGATGGAAACTTCTCCATTGGCCTGACTGAAATTTCTGCAAGAAAGAAAGAAAAGAAATAATAGCGCCATGTTGTTTTCACTTTTTTGCCAAAGATTCTAAATCTATCTTTACTATAACATGCATCAAGAAAGCTTGTAAACACATATGTTTTAAAATATGTTTGTTACACAAGCATATTCTTCATTTTTGTTTGTATTTTAACCACTTATATAATACGTGTTATCCACACACATGTATCTTAGCGTTATATTCACTTAGAATGTTACTTGTTACCTCATGTTCAATTGTGTGATACATTTCAGGGATCACCCGTTTGATAATCCAGAAAGAAGACGGCTAGATGGTCGTAGAAACAGAGACCATATTCCAACCGATAGGAATGCATTACAAAGGGGCACTCTTGGTGTTAGATTTGAAAAGGCGCGATGTAATATGTCTAAAATGATGGCTACCGATAGAATGGTAATTAGGGTGATTGACATGCATTACTTAAGTACAACTCACAGCAACATAGTTTTGGTAAAATTCAAACCAGATCTAATAAAAATACAAGTAAATTGGACAGCAGTGTAAATGGTTAACTGTCTACCAAATGATACGGAAACAGGTGAAGTACCTGGTTCTAACAATGCAGTGATGTAAGGCGAATGATTACTGCTTTGCTTTCTTTGTTAAGTAATACATTGGAGAATTCTTCTGGCATGTTAGCATATTTTCAATGATAAATAAATAAAGATAAGACAAATGTTTCTACTTTTATTGAACGTGTATAGAACAATCACTAAAAGTTTGGAATTGCCTTGATTTTTCAGATATAAAACAAAAAATAATAGTAACAAACACTGATATTGCGTAAAAACAACATTCTCAAACATCATCAATAACAAGAGACATGAATTATCACAAAATGGTCACAAAACCAGGTTTTCAGAACGAAATATCAGAGGCCTTGAAAATAATAAAACATACAAAAAAACTTTAGACCGCTAATTTTATGAAAATATTTGTTGAATACTCCTTAAAATACAGTACTAGTAATCTATTCTTAACATAAACAAAAATAACAGAGTAATCTTGCTTTTATATACAATTAAATAAGCATTTCAAACGATCAAGTTTGACACAAAACTGCTAGCAGATGGACGACGAAAATGAGCATAACATTATGCATTATATTACATATATTATCGAATATTTCTATCCAATACGTAAACACATGACATATATCATTATGCAAACACAATATTCAGTTTTTTACTTAGCTCTACAGGTCCTCTGAGGCCGGCAAAGACCTGAGCGAAAAACATAACTTTTCCAACACCCTGTACATCTATGGTTTCTTTCATGGTTATGTTTCACGGAAATATTATTTGACAGCTGATATCTGTAACAAAGTTCCTCATTATAGCTATCACAAGAGAACCTTCTAGGACCCAGGGGATGTACTTCGTTTACATGTCTCTTCAAGGCATGATTGGTAGCAAAGCTGGATTTGCAGTCACTGTGCTGACATGCAAACATTCTTGGCTATATGCTTGTCGCATCTAAAACATAATGAAATTAAATACATAAATTATATAGATACAGGGAAACACTACAATCAAAACGAAAAACGACACGTTTTTATTTGTGACTCTTGAGCGAAGTTTGAGGTGAGTTTACAATTCAGGTCTGAATACATCATGTTTGCACCCATTTATGTCGAATCATTTAATCATAATTTAATCATAATAATTTAACTTTAGAAATAAACTTTTTTATAATATCGGTTAAGTACGACAATATATCACGTCACTATCATTCTTACAATCACTTATCTGTAGTTCATGCGCCGATTTCATTAAGACCTTTTTATTATGTTTAAAACAACATTTCCAATTTATCATTAGTTCTTTTAATTTTTCTAAGAAAAACAGTAAAAAAATAATTACCTATGCTGTGAATATTCATTTTTCTCTCTGAAAACCTGTCCACAGCAATGGTATGGGCCTTTCCCTATGTGCCCTCTTTCGTGGCGTCTAAGGTCTTGCCTCCTCTTAAAGTTTTTTCCGCATACATTACAAAGATTCATTGCAGAACTGAAATTAAACATACACCATAAATTATGACATTCTGTTTTTAGTATTTGTATAAAACATTATCCAAAAGAACACTATTGAAAACTGACTGATATTTATGACATCCACCAAGTACAAAAATGCGGCGTACGTTATCACTGATAATTTATGTGCCTTACGTTATCATTTCCGGAAAATTCCCCGATATTAATATTTAGAGTGGTTATTCTAGCCAGAATGGGCATGAATGCTTAGATGATGACATATTACAACTTTTAAAAGTCAGTGGTTCCAGTAAATTTACATATATGTGGAAGAAACAGTGAAATTGAGAGAAAAAGCCGTACATTATCACGATCAAACCGGTGGAAAATTCTCTCGCTTCAAATCTGGTGACGCGCATTTATGATGAAGTACAGGACAAAACATCATGAAATAAAATCCTGTGTGCGCAGAAAATTGTGGAGAAGGTTGTTATATAGACTTTTACACTAGAACATTACGAATTTCAGAGATAAAAAGGAAAAACTTACTTTTCAGCAGCTGCATCCACCATCTTGTTTATGGTAACGAACGGCGTGATTCTCCCCCGTGGGTACTTATAGCCAAAAACTTTCACACATTCCTTACATTTAAAATGACGTTTTAGCCTAGATTTGTTCCTAAAACTCTTCTTGCAAAACTCACAATGGTAACCTCCCTTCAGATGATCAAAATCTGTGTTTGAATCTGTGTTTGAATCTGTGTTTGAATCTGAAATAATGAAAAGAACCAATGTCATAACATAGTTGACGTCTTTCACAGATCATGCTGTATCGTAATTGTGTTTTTCATTTGGAAAAGATCTTGCTAGCAAACACTGGACAAACAAAAACCTTTCCTTTAGACGGTATGCTCAACCATTCTAAGTGCTTGACAGTAAGAAAAGGGGCATTACTCTGTAACAAGGTAACTCAGTCACGCGACTGATGCCCATCACATTAGATTACCACAAAGAACAAATGTGTGATTGTTCAACTCATTCCCTTAAGTAGTTTTGGAGATATCAACTAGCAAGCAAAAAGTGTGATGATAATGCTGGGGCAAGTACAATAGCTCACCCTATTTCTTTGAATAGTCAAGCTAAAAATAAAAAGAACTATTATCGCAAACAATACAACTCACTAACTGCTACAAATTTTAATTCATCATAGCATTTTATATATCAATGAATGTATATTGACTTATTTTTAATACCTTATACCATCTATTTTCAAATCTAGGTTAGGTCAAGGCATCTCCATGCAAGCAGTATTGTATTTCATATTCAACACAAATAGCAAAACTCTCTTAACAAACAGCATTATAAAACTTGCTGATAAATAAATACAACTATTTCTTGGCAAATATTTTAAAATTGTTAAATGTTAACATGAAGTAATAGTAAACAAACAAGAGGGCCATGATGGCCCTGAAATCACTCACCTGAAGTAATATTGTAATCTATAAACAAGAGGGCCCAGAGGGCCCTGGATCCCTCACCTGAGAAATAGAAAGGTCAAAGTCCCCAGAAGCACAATTTGAAAACATTAAACGGACAGCTTAATCTGAACAATTTTTGTACACTGTCACTGTGGAATTTTTTTTTAGAATTATTTCAAAATTGAACCAGTGGTTAAAATGTTGTTTAGATAAGCATGTTTCATGCCAAATATCGAAACTCTACCCTCTTGAACAAACTTGAAAGATGTTTCATGCCAAATATCTAAGCTCTAGCTCTTTTGGATTTTCTCATGAAGATTTTTTTTAGTTTTTAATATACAGTAAAGTTCCGCTATTAAGACCACTTGTGGGTCTAGCAAAAGGTGGTCTTATTATCGAGTCGGTCTCTTTATTGAGACCCTAGATTATAGCACACCAGTAAGGCACATATACCTTCAATATCAGTGGTTAATACATAGGAATGATAGGCAGACATGTTTGTCACTGTTTTAACCCTTTCCCCCATGAGCATATCGTGAAAATGGCCGTTTTCACTGAAAAGCCTCCTGTTACAAGTTCAAACTGCTATGAAACTATGAAAAATGCTTCAATACTAATCAAACTTGGCACAAATGTTGACTGGACCATTGCCTTTGTAACGACATGCTCAGTCTTAAAATTCCTGTTACCATGGCAACGAGGGGACATCTCAAAATTGCCAAAAATCACTATTTTGCCTCGATTTTTTCCATCAAAATTTATTTCAAAGTGCTGCAACTTCTCAAGGGATTGAGATAGAGTCAAAGGCTTTTCAGCGTTGGTTAAACGTTACATTATGATTGACCTGGGGTCATTTTTAGCCTCTCACAAGTCCAAAATTTTCTTGGCGATGAGGGGGACTCCGCCCCCCTTCAACCCCCCCTCCCTAACAGAAGGGGGCACATCCCCCTTCTGGCAACCCCCTGATGTATCTTTTGGATGGGGGCAGCGCCGAAAAAGTGCTCAAATTTTTTAGCAACATTTCTCAAACGAAAACTTATGTTTAAGGCCCAAATAGGACATTTTTTCACTATTTGAGGCCCCAAAAAGGGGGGGGGTCGAAAGTGGGTTGTTTCGCGTATATATGTGGTAAAGGGTTAATAAAAAATGATGAAAAACTTTGGAATCACCTAAAAACTAGTTTTTCCATGTTAACATGTGGTCTTTCACCTAATTTTGGTGAAAAATTGTTGTTTTGTAACATTTATATTTTTTTTAGTTAACCCTTTCCCCCATGAGCATATCGTGAAAAATGGCCGTTTTCACTGAAAAGCCTCCTGTTACAAGTTCAAACTGCTATGAAACTATGAAAAATGCTTCAATACTAATCAAACTTGGCACAAATGTTGACTGGACCATTGCCTTTGTAACGACATGCTCAGTCTTAAAATTCCTGTTACCATGGCAACGAGGGGACATCTCAAAATTGCCAAAAATCACTATTTTGCCTCGATTTTTTCCATCAAAATTTATTTCAAAGTGCTGCAATTTCTCAAGGGATTGAGATAGAGTCAAAGGCTTTTCAGTGTTGGTTAAACATTACATTATGATTGACCTGGGGTCATTTTTAGCCTCTCACAAGTCCAAAATTTTCTTGGCGATGAGGGGGACTCCGCCCCCCTTCAAACCCCCCCCCCCCAACAGAAGGGGGCACATCCCCCTTCTGGCAACCCCCTGATGTATCTTTTGGATGGGGGCGGCGCCGAAAAAGTGCTCAAATTTTTTAGCAACATTTCTCAAACGAAAACTTATGTTTAAGGCCCAAATAGGACATTTTTTCACTATTTGAGGCCCCAAAAAGGGGAGGGGGTCGAAAGTGCGTTGTTTCGCGTATATATGTGGTAAAGGGTTAAACTGTTTTACTGGCAGATAAATGACACATTGTATAAACAACTAATTAAAGCTATTTAATGTATTTTAATTTTACATAAACACCATTAAAACAACATAACTGGTACATCATTTAAAATAGAAAATATACATTATACATGTGAAAGTCAGAAGTCTCTTTTTATCTCATATCAATCCTTTTACATATCACTATACATTTCATGTGAGTCATAGACACATCACCTTACTTATAAAAACTGTCAATTGTTGTTTGTTTAGAGTACCCTAAAGCTTTCACTGAATCCTTTTCGAACAAGTCAACAACATCTGTAAGTCCTTTACTTAAACAGTACATTCTAATGTTTTCAATGGATTGAATTGCTTCAAACAATAACAAATTGCTGTTACTCCAGTTATCTATCAATTTGCACCTGTGCCGATTCAATACATCAAACAGCTCCCTTTGATTTTCCAATAATTTAATCCACATTAAACGAATAATCGATAGCAATTAAATTGTTAGTGTGCAAATTGTCAAAATTGCTATTCGGCAGTCGTAAACCGTTCACAGCTAATGCCGTAAAATATAACGGTCGGTGTTTATCACTCGACACGCGGTCGCATTTACGGGACATTAATCAACAATATTTAACCTGTCGGTTCTTTTGAAAGTGGTCGTAATACGGAATAGCGGACCGGTCGTATAATTGGACCTTCCGACCATTGAAATATGTAGAGAAAAAATTGGTTCTTTCAAAAACTGCCCGTATTATCGGATTGGTCGTATTTTCGGACCGGTCGTTAAGCGGAACTTTACTGTATACAATAATAAGGAAAATCAAAAACCCCTGGGAAGGGCCAATTTTAAACCTACGGAATAAAATTTTGTAGACATCCACTTGAAGATGTTTCATGCCAAATATCTAATCTATATTTGGATTGTCACAAGAAGATTTTTTAAGTTTTTACTATATACATATAAGGAAAATCAATGAACCCTGGGGCTGGGCCTGAATGTGGACCCTAGGACTTTTATTTGAACAAACTTGGTAGACATCCACTAGAAGATGTTTCATGCTTAATATCTAAGCTCTAGCTCTTTAGGTTTTTTAAAAGAAAATATTTTAAGTTTCTTCTTTTGGCTGCCATGGCAATCAAGGTTCTGCATGGGATTAAATTCTTTGAACATTTTTTAAAGATGACTACCAAAGGAACATTCCTGTGAAGTTTGGATGAAATTGGCTTAGCGGTTTCTCAGGAAGTGTTGTTTAGAGTAAAAGTGTACAGACGGACGACGAAAAGCTATCACAAAAGCTCACCATGTCACTTTGTGACAGGTGAGCTAAAAAAGTTCTTTCTTTGAAAGTTATAGCCAATCCAAAAGGCTTAATTCCTTTCAATGTTAAATTTCGAAAAGTGTACTTGTCCATCTTTCAATCTTAACAAAAACCTTTCATAATTATTATTCCGGAAATTCAAAATTTATTACCAACTAACAAGTGAAACAGAAAAGACAATGTTCAGTCAGCACAGGGATGCCAGCTGATCTAGGTCAGCACTTAAGTCACATGGGTAGATTCAGTCTCCACCACAAGGCTAAAGCTCAAACTCATACAGTAATAAAAATAAACTCTCGACTGTCTGAATGTTTTCCAGGGAATTCTATTTGGTTTTCAATGCAATTCTATCACTGTGCTACATAGTGAACTGCCATGTGATGCATCAAATTCCCCTTCACGCCGAAACCCTTTCCACAAATGTGACATTTGAATGGTCGTTCTCCAGTGTGCATAGTCAAATGTCTTTTTAGCCATGACATATTACGAAAATATTTCCCGCAGAATTCACAGCTATGCCCACTTTTCCCTGACGCGCCTCCAACAGTTGTTTGTCCTACACCCAATTCAGTCAGACCTGAAAACACCAAATTAGAATAATTATACAGAATAATTATGGTAAGAATAAATTCATTACACCCTCTCTGGCATTGCCTTTTACAGTGGTGGTTTTTAATATACAGTAAATAAACGAGATTTTTTGTAGTGTTTTGATGAGAAGACTTAAACTTCATTATAATGATTCTGAATTCAAACAATGATTTAACAGATAGTTTGTGTCCTAAAATTTGATACTATATTAGTTTAGTTAAATATATCTAAATTTGTTTTGTTTGTTTGTTTCATTCAACAGTATTTCAGTCATATAGGCAGGTAGTTTCCTAACCATCGTTCCTGGAGAGTTACACCAGTACTAGACTACCTTCCTCCGCGCTAAACTACCTAAAAATAATAACTGAAGAATCCAACATTTTCCAAACAAAATATTCTTTAAACAAGGCAGTGTCTAACCCTTAACTTACTTAATGCTTATTAAACATAATAAAATTCAGTTTGTCGTTTAAACTTTTTTTATTTTCTCAAAATTACACAAAGAAATTTTCTTAAAACAGTTGGAAAGCATTGACAGATAAATGCAATGAAAAAAAGAATAATAACAACAAGTGATGAAACTGTAAAATAACAACTTGATAAGACAACTCAGAACTGAATTCAACAGAAAGGAGATCTTTACTGAGTTATGTGATCCCCACAAAAACTTATTCAAACCCCTATATTCACAAAATTGCTAAATGTGATCATTTATATTTCATCACTATTTTACTCTTGTTTATTGTTGTTGTTTTTTTTTCACTTCCTTTTTCTTTCTCCTTTCCCTGCAGCATCACTTCTACAGTCTTACTCATTGACTCAATATTTCATTGGCATGCACAACAACCATATGCTGTTTCATGTTTCCTTTCGTAGAGAACATTTTCTCACAAATTCTACACTGAAACTGTTTTCCAACACTCAAATGCCTTTCCCGATGCTTGCTTAAATTTCCTTTCAAAGTGAATTTTTTCATACAAAATTCACACTGAAATTGTTTTTCTCCAGAGTGGACGACCAAATGTTGTCGAAGCCCGTGAGAATTTTTGAAAGATTTTCCACACACATTACATTCGTGACTATGATCTTGCGATGAGGAGTGACCTGACTGTAAGTGCAAGTTCCGTTCACCATCATTTTTACTCGACCGCTGATCAGTATGTGAGACATAGTCTGAAAAGACATGATAAAAATTATTCAACATCTCTGAATAAGCTAGAACTAAATAATTTTCTTTTTCTAAATGACGGGGGGAAAGAAACAACAATTAATTGTTTATTCATTTATTTACCCGAAACATGCTGAATTTGTGAAACAGACTCGCCCTGCCTTAAATTTTAATTGTGCAAAATAACCTAAACATGAAAAAAAGCATTGCAACACTTCTCACATCAATCTGGCTAAGAATTGCACAAAAAATCTAATTTTTCAATTCAATTCTGAGCACATATCTTCAGGATTCTTTGCAATTTTTTTTCGATTTTAACTTTTTATTTGATATATGTAAGAATTACAAAATTTCATGTTTTTAAAGCTTTTTGACCCTTAATGATTTAAAAGAATGAATGTTCTATCAATGTAGAACAATTTAATAACCTTACAGAAAATTACAACAATAATTAACAAGAGCTGTCAGTAGAGCTGTTAGTAGGACAGCTTGCTCTACTATTCTCAGTGCTTGATAGTAAGACAAGAGCCTGGATAATGTAATATTTTTTTAAGTACAAAAAGTGCCATAATTCTGTGGAAATCCATGTAAGAGTTCAAATCAATGTTGTAGGGAAGTTCATATTTTCAATTTTTTCAAAGTTCATTGACCTATTCCTGTAGTTTGCAGTCATATGACCATAATAGGAAAGTTTTTGTTCATATGACTGCAATGAGATGGATGTTCTTCAGAAGACCACAATGATATACATTTAGTTTGTTTTTCATTATCCAAAATGAGATAGTTTTTCTTCATAAGACCATCACAAGATAGTTTTTCTTCATAAGACCATCTAGTTTTTCTTCATAAGACCATCACAAGATAGTTTTTCTTCATAAGACCATCACAAGATAGTTTTTCTTCATAAGACCACCACAAGATAGTTTTTCTTCATAAGACCACCACAAGATAGTTTTTCTTCATAAGACCACCACAAGATAGTTTTTTTTCATAACCCATCACAAGATAGTTTTTCTTCATAAGACCACCACAAGATAGTTTTTCTTCACAAGACCACCACAAGTTAGTTTTCTTCATAAGACCACCACAAAATAGTTTTTCTTCATTAAGACCATCTCAAGATGTTTTTTTCTTCATAAGACCACCACAATAACATAGTTTTTCTTCATAAGACCACCACAATAACATAATTTTTTCCTTCATAAGACCAAAATGAGAAAAAATTTCTTCATAAGACCATAATGAGAAAAAATTTCTTCATAAGACCATAATGAGAGAGTTTTTCTTCATAAGACTACAATGAGATGGTTTTTCTTCACTAGACCAAAATAAGATAGTTTTTCATCATAAGAATACAATGAGAAAGATTATCTTCATACAACCACAATAAGATAATTTTTCTACATAAGATTATAATGAAATAGTTTTAATCATAAGACCATAATGAGATAGTTTTTCTTTTAAGTCCACAATGAGATAGTTTTTATCCATCATAAGACCACAATGTGATTGTTTTTCATCCAAGAATACAACAAGAGTTTTTTTTTATAAAACCACAATGAAATTGACAATCAAATAAAATTTCTCAAGCTAAGTCTATTATTTAATATACTTTAAGTCTGTAAGTCCTTATTCTGAATTACTTCACAATTTAAATTTGAGTTATCTTCTCTTGAAAATGACTTAAAAGGGCAAAATTTGCTCACTTTTAGGGGCAGATAAATCAAAATGTAGGAGTAATAATATTGCCATCAATTTCTTACAATAACGATTCTCTATTAATTATGCAAAGTTGAAGAACATTCTCGGCAAGAGTTTAAATTTTCCTTCTTTGTCTTTGTAAAAAAAAAACTGCACCACTGCAGAAACATATAATTTTAAATAAAACCTTTAAATTTGATAATGACAATGTTCCAAATTCAAAATCCATTATAAAATTTGAACCTGTAGGTAAATGGTTAAAAGAGGTCTTTATCCAAATGTGTCACTTGGTGAACTTTCAGATGAGCTTTCTGGTTAAAGCTTTTATTGCACATATCACATTTGAATGGCATTTCTCCAGTGTGTATAAGCAAATGTCTCCTCAATGCAAATGGAGAAGCAAAAACTTTGGCACAGAAACTGCAAACACGATTTTGTCTCACTCGACCTGAATGCATCTCATCTCCTGGAAATTGAAACAATGAAATTCTAATTAGATAAGCTATACAAAAATCAAATGAATGACAAGGTAATATTTTCTGTCTTGTGTAAATCCATAAATTTTGTTTGAAGACATAACACTACTCCTGTCAGATTATTCTTTTATTTTAAATCATTTTACATTTTCCACAACATTATTATACCAATGCATCATCACACTTTCTATTACATCGTAATTCAAATTCATCATCTATTTAAATTTTCAAGCATTATGCCATGGGACATGGTACATTTTATCTCTCAATCGCGGAAAGAAGATCTCTGAAATTGATATCCTGCAATGGTATAAGGATATCTAAAACTACCCTGATTGTGGGTGGCATATTTTTAAATGACTTTGTGCCAAAAGTAACCCTACAGTCTTGTTAACTTGAAGATAAGTAAAGGCAATGTCATACAAATAATAATTATGCAATATATTAATTCAGGCCCTGGTATTTGCATAATAAATTCTGAAAGTAATTGACACTCAACCAACTGAATAATCTCTAAAAAATTCCTTGGTACAAGCATTATATGCTCAAATTTTGTATGAGTTTTGCAATCAATATACATGTTCACATGGTTATCAAAACTCTGCTTAAATTTTCAAAGATGTTCAACTTGTATCATTCCCAATTTTAATTCATTTGACAGCAACACATAGTTGACAGTTTAATGTAGTTGACAGCATTACACAGTTGACATCATGATACAGCTTACAGCATTCATTATACAATTAACAGCATTATGCAATAGACAGCATTATGTAGTTGACAGCATAATGTAGTTGACAGCATTATGTAGTAGACAGCATTATACAGCAACTGTCGACAGCATTATATAGTAACTGTTGACAGCATTGTAATATTTAAACAGCATCAAACAGTTATATTGACATTTAAATGCACTATTTGATGTCTTTTCATCGACGATTTCTGGTTGAACCGTTTACCACATTTTGTACATTGGTACGGCATTTCTCCGGTGTGAACTAACATATGTCTGGTTAACATTGACGGCGAACGAAACGATTTTCCACAAAGTGTACACATATATCCCATCGTTTTATAATCCACATCTGAAAATATAAGGATATTTAATGTAAATCTACTATAAGAAAGTCCCCGAGACAAAAGTGTTCATGCCATCCATCTCTTTAATCTGATGCTGGTCTCAATAACAAATTAGCTCTACATTATCATTTTCAGTTTTATTTAGTACGGTACCATAGCATGACATAAACAAATATTTAATCAAATACATGTAAATCTCTTGTTTCAATCATAATGCCACTAATGATTCTTCTGAGCATGACAATCCCCCTTTTAACACATAATGAAACAAAAAAAACCCTCAGCATTCAGGAAAATAATTCATCTTGAACAATACTTTCCTAGAATCCATATCAGTCCTAAATAACACAAATTTACTTCATATCTTTACTAGGTATCTTTACACTCTATCTTTACTCCATTTCTTTACACCATATCTTTGCACCATAATCTTTCCACACCTTGTATCACTAAAATCAGCAAATCTTCGAAACGCATACAAAAAAATGCTAATTTTAGAAGTGTCATAGACATTCATTTTGTAATGTTAACGAAAGTATAAATTTTTTAAAATTTTTCCTTTCACTTTAAAACCTGTTTATCACAAACAGAAACCACTTGTAGGGGCTTTTTCTCCAGATGAAATTTCTCAAAATTTTTTGGGAAAATTTTCCTTTTTTTAGATTGAAAGGTTTTGGTTTACAAAAACCCGGGCAGATATACTTAAAAATCCGGGGGAAAAAAAACCCAGACACATTTATTTTTCCTTGGCTCCCCAAAAGTTTGGTTTTGGGAAGAGGGCCAAAATGATCCTGGTTTTTGCCATTTTGAAATTTGGAAGGATTTTTGCATTTTTTCCCCAAAGGGGGGTTTCCCAATTAATTGTTAAAAGGGAAAATTGGTTACTAATAACTGCCCCCCCTTTACTTTTGTCTTCCCTTTTGAACCCAAAGGGGCCAAACATTTTGGAAAAAGGGGATAACCAAATTTTACCCAAAAGGTTTTCTTTTTTTTCCTTTCCCTTTTTAACAGCAATCAACTTTATTCACAAGAGGCAACCTGCAAAATGTGACTAAAATAGGTAAGTATTAACTACGCAAAAAACAAAAAAGGTATATATTCATATTAAAAAAACACCTTAAAACATTACCACTTCATTCCATCTGGAAACCTAGCTCACTGGCTTTGGGGCAAAATAGGTTAAATAGACAATTTGGATATTCTTTTTTAACTCTAAGAACATTCAGCCAAACCAATTTCAAGGTTCAAAATCAATGTTTTCATCTTTTTATTTTGTTGTTGTTGTTTGTTTTTGGAAAAAAAGTGGCAGGTGGGTGGTTGATTGTATTTTCTGGATGGAGGGACACAAGATATAAAATGTTTATCCTTCACAAAATGTGATCCAAGGAACAAGCATTCCCATCAACAAAACCAGGAAAATTTTAAATGTTTCTTGGGCAAAGAAAATCAAAGTAGTTTCCACTGTTCAACACAACACCTTTTATCAAACACTGGTTCCAGACCTTTTGACCTTTTTTTAACATTACAACAAAATAACAAACATTTTTTTTTCCTTTTTTTCGTTCAACATTTTTTTTTCTGGGGGTTATTGGGAAAACTATCCTGCCTACTTAATATACACAAATTATCAACAATAAACCAACATAATTGGACTCCGAGTTTCAAAATCCATTCATTTGATTGGCTTATTCAAAACATTTTTTCATAACTTTAACTGTCCAATAAAAAAAATTCTTTCATTTGATTGGCTAATCAACAATTTCCATTCTTTCATGCTGTCCAAAATCACAAGAATTCTTTCCACACCAATCTAAAACCGAAATTGTTTGGTGTTACAAACTGCTAGTTTCAATGTTAAAGGGAAAGCCCCTTTTCCTTTTTAAATTTAAATTTTTTAAAAAAGGTGTTTAAATTGTTAGGGAAAGGATTTTTTTTAAAAAACCCAATACAGGCTTAAGAGGGCCCAATCTTTTTAAACCTAAACCTAAATTCTGAAAAGGGGGTTGGGGTTTTTTTCCCCAAAATCAGCTTAAACCCCCAATCCCCGGGTTTTTTGGATTAAATTGGGGGTTCGGGCCCTTGAAATTTATACTTTAAAAAATATTGGAAGGGATGCAGGTTGACAATAGGCAATTCCCTGAAAGGCAAAAAAAAAAAATCAAATTAAACTTAACAAAATTTCCTGATTGGCTTCCCTTTTTTTTTTTTATTAAAAAGGAGAAAGGGGAAATTAATTTAAAATTTGGAAAAAAAGGCTTGGGAAAATATTTCATTTTTAAAACCTTAAAAATTTATTTAACATTTAATTTCAAAAAAAGATACCCTTTTAATATCATTTTTAAAAACAAATAACCTTTAAAATTAAAATTTTTTTACAAGGTTAATAAAATACTCCCCCTAAATTTTTCCTTAAATTTTGTAAATTATTTAAATTATTAAAAAATATAAATACACTTAATATTTTTAATTTTAAAACAAAAAAAAAATTAACCCCCAACCTATCCTTGAAAAAATTTTAAAACCAAAATTTTTCCCATTATCATCATGTTTCATGTTCAAAAAGGGCAAAAAAAAAGAAAAAAACCAATCCAAAGGAAATCCCCATTTTAATTTAACTGGCCCAATTCTTGGGATTAAAAAAAAAACAAATGTTAAAAAATTTTTTCCGCAAAATGAATTTTAAAGGAAATTTTACCAGAAACATAGATGTTTGTTGTACTATCATCCTTTTTTGATTACTGCCCTCAGTGAGTTCAAACCATCATTTCTGTCTCAACATTATTTGGGGGGTTGAAATGACTGTTTTCCCAATGTCAATTAGAAGATTTTTCTTGGGATGGCGGGTTGCAGCCGGGTCGGGGGGAGGGGGGGGCAGGGGGATGGACATAACATAAGGATATGTATTATTCAAAACCAAGGCTAGCTTTGGCAAACTTTTTTCTTCGACGCCCAATTTTTTTTTTTTTTTTTTTTTTTTGCGGCAGACATTACATTCCTTGTAATTTAATTTTCAAATAAAGCAAAGGTTTTTTCCTAGCTAAACCTGTGCACAACTTTAAACATAAGTGGTTAGTATTTATTTAAGGACACTAACAAAAAGAACTTCCCATTCCCCTTGTTTCAATTTTTTTTAAAACCCTATCTAAAACCCAAATTTTGTTAGGGTTATTTTTACTTAAAAAAAACCCCCTTTTTCATGAAATTTGTAAATATGCGTACAATATATTCAACCAAATTTATTCCCTTTTTCTTTCAACTTTGGAAAGTCTGGAAAAAACACGAAAAAAAAAAATTTTTTCATCTTTAAAATTTTTTTTTTCATCATTAAACACTTTTTTAAAATGAACTTAAACCCCATCCTATATTATATTAAAACTTTTTAAAACTGCCCACGAATATTTTGGCAAAGTTTGGGGTTAAATAAAATTTAAATAAATGGCTCTTTTTGAAAAAAAGTTTGTTTTAAAACTTTTTAAATCCCTTTTCAGTTTTTCATTTTTTTAAAAAATTTTTTAAATTTTTGGGCAGAGTTTTCCTGGTAACAATACACAGCACCAGTATTCTGATATCAAATTTTGTATGATAACCTATCAATTTATAACTTACATAAACAAGAGCACTGCATATGGTGTTAATGCTCATCTCGGCAAAGGACAATAACTATCACTATTCACCATTTTTTGTAAGTTAAAAAGGGACATAACTCCTTATAATATTACTTTAAATGTAATTCTCCTCGTCTTACATCTGTGCCTTGTTGTGATAATCAAGTATTTCAATTAGTTTCATCTGGATGCATTTAAAAATGTTTGATTAATAGACTACATTAAAGTTTTTGCATGACGTCAACTACCAAGCAATTATCACTATAGCTCAACTTTTTCTTCGAAACAGATAAGCTACATGTAATAAAAATCAAATATTTGAATATGGCAAAACTTATATCCAAATATTAATTTTCAGTATTTCCAAAAATTTATAAAATTTTTTCACTTTCCCCTATTTGGAGAAAATTTTTAAAGCTTTAAAAAGGTTTAAAGCATTCCAAATTTAAATTTAAAGGGGCCGGGGATTTCTTTTTTTTAAAAAGTTTAGTATTCAATTTATTAAAACTTGAAAAACTTTTTATTAGGAACAGTACAGGAAATAAAGATTATCACAAAAAAATTTCTAATTTATGGGAAAAAAACCTTTAAAAACAAACTTAATATTGAAAGTTTAAATTTCTTTTTAAAAGAAAAACTTTCAATCATTTTCCAAAACCGGGGAACCCCCGTAGATTCTCAAAAAAATATTTTTCATCATTTACAATCATTTTTTCCCCCCAAATTTCTTTTCCCCTTTTTTTTTTTAAATCCTTTTATCAAGTTTTAATAGTTTCAAAACAATTTTAACCCTTTTAAACCTTTTTAAAATTTTAAAATAAAATGATTTACCTGCTTTTTAATTTTGAACAGTCCATTCAACAGTTTACTACAAGATCTCAATTGATATACAAATATTGAGCTACTGACAGTATAGAGCCTGGTCAGACTGCATAGATTTGTATGCTGGCCTGGCTCTTTTAACTGGTGGCAAAGGCTTAAATCTATTTTTGATTCCAGCAGGTTAAGGGCTAATAACTTCAATTCAGCATATTTTTATTTGTATAAATATATAATGCTCAACCAATCTAACATCCATTATAACTCTTTTTTTCTCTCCGAAATTTGACATTTTCTTTGTTTTCAAAATTAAACAGACCTGTTCGGTGTTAACAGTTTTATGCAAATTCATGTGGATTTTTCCAGTGCTAACAGTTTTATGCAAATTCACATGGATTTTTCCAGTGTTTACAGTTTTATGCAAATTCATGTGGGCTTTTCCAGTGCTTACAGTTTTATGCAAATTCATGTGGATTTTCCAGTGTTTACATTTTTATGCAAAGTTATTAATGAACTTTTCCAATGATATTTTATATGTATAAGCCAAACCAATGCCAACTTTAAATCAGGAGAAACTTGGT